TTTCCTGTGACTGACTCATCAAGCTTAGAGAAATAAGCTAAGATTCCCGTCATATGGTTGCTAGCTCCATTATCCAAATACCACACATTCTCAATATCAGAACTTGTTTCAAATTTATTTGGAACTACATTCCTTTCATTCAAGTATACAACTTCATGCATCATTAGTGATTCAGCTTCTTCTGTGTCATCTTCTTCTTCTTTGTCATGAAGCTTGGTTTTGTCTCTTTGTTGGTAAGCAAAACGTCCACCTCCGCGTCCTCTTCCAAATCTACCACGACCTCCTCCTCTGTTTCTTTCTTGAGATCCAAGATATGGTTGTGAGTCCATGTTAGCATACAAAAGCTTGCTTTGGTCCTCTTGGGAGTCTTCTTCTTCACAAATCTGTTCTTCATAGGTTTTTAATCTTCCTACAATGTCTTCAAAAGTTGTTTTCTTGAGATCAAGAAACTGTTCAAGCGCCGCAATGATGTGAATGTATTTCTTGCGTGGCAAACTCTTTAGAAACTTTTCCATAATCTTTGATTCTTCAATGGTTTCTCCCAATGATGCTGACTTTGTTGATATCTCTGAGATCTTATCAACAAAATCATCAATCGTGTCATTGTCCTTCTTCTCTATATCATCGGATCCAGGATCTATCGTTTCCCAAACTTTGTGCACACGCAACGCCACTTTCATTCTCATAGCCCACACGGTGTAATTTGCGGTATTCAGCATCAGACATTGGATCGCCGAAAACCCCCCTTCCTTTGGTTTGTTTATCGCAACGATCTCACTCATGGTTCGTGATCTTTGTGTTTCTGTACGCTTACGTATCAAACCCTAGGCTCTGATACCAAATCTAGTTTGATAAAGTTTCAAGAACACGAGATTAACAAGAATAACTCTCTTATTAATGTCCTAGGAAAATAACTCAAAACCTAAGCTCTCAATCTCTACTCTCAAATTAAAAACTCATAAACTCTCATAAAACTCTCTTAATCTCATAAGCTATATCACAACTCGATATATGCTTATATAGCCACAACCTCTAAACCTAATCATAACTCAATTAGGATTACATAATATTCTCTAGATAACTCCTAAAGAATTAGTCTTTATCTCTTCAATAAACCGACATCTTGCGGTTTAAGTAAACTCCGGTTTATCCTTCAAGCTTAAACCAACATATTAGATGTCACAAACAAGCATTAAAAGGCAAAGGCAGAGAGAGACAAGTGGGCTAAATTGAATTGATAGAATACAAAATGAGAAAGAAACATTTTTCTTGCTTTTACATTCTAACCAGAATAAATTCTAGTCAATAACATTCATGTATACATGTACTTGCAAGTTGCAACGCTTGTTCTTTTTTGCTTGACTGCTAGAGTTATCATAAATGCACATACATGCATTCTTGTAAATTTAGTAATATACCTATGACTCGTTTGGGCTTTTTTACTCTGTCCAACGTAGAGGCTAGGCCTTTTTTTTTTGGTCGTGGAATGAAGCTTTCATTCAAAAGAGAACATAGAGTTACAAAGATATGGAGAGGCCTGAGGTCATAGACCTTATGGCTGTTCTTGCAAGATCATCAACAATAGTGTTTTGTGATCTTGGAATGAATCTAACGTAGAGGCTAGGCCTAAAAATTAACCTTACCTTTAGAACTCTTTGTATATTTTTCTTTCGTATTTTTTAAATCGCGTTATAAATTCCAAAACTTTCTTAGCAAAAAGGAACAGCTCAAACAGGTCAGGTATAGAGAAAGTATACACACAAATATATGTATACGAACCCAAAAAAAAAAAAAAACATTTATAAACCATCTACCTTGTACCACCATTTTGAAAATATATAACCAACGGAATTCAAGTCCCTCAGATAAAGTGTTTTCTCAAATTCATTATACAGTATATCATTAATTAGACCAAAATCTAAAATGAAGTAGCTATCAAGTAAGTTAATCATCAGAGACCTTAATTAAAGTTACATTCAAATCTCTTTAATGTTTGCCAGTTTTATTTCTTACATCAAAGCACCATACTTTATGTATAGCAACCAAAAAACTTACATGAAAAAAGCTAGAACCTCATGATCGTATTTTTCTAGCCATGCAATCGACGCGTATATTATTCAAACGTGAAAAATGATCGTAAGAATTTTAAAATTTACCAACCAAGATTCAAAAATATATATAATTCTGAAAAGAAATTAGACCAATCAAAAAATATTTTCGATCATCTTGTTTAATACCGCACAATCCCACATGAGGTAAAGATCAAAAATACTCGAATATCCCCAAATTAGAAGCATCCATATATTTGTTAACATATAACTTCTTTAACGATTAAACAGAACTATACAATCTCATTAATCGACGTATCTGACTATTCTTTCTATTCTTTTGTCCAGCAAAATTCCAAGATTGGCAATTTTTTTACTTTAAAGAAGAGCTCTCTCCACACGGATCACATTCCAACGGTCCATAATCAACCAGGCAAAAAAATATCAGAGGTTTTGTTGGTTGGCCCATCATGATCCAACTCTCCATGTAAGCGAAATTATTATAATTTTTTAATTGAAAAGGAAAATCAACAATTAAAACACATAATAACTTGTATGAAGATCACTATAATCCCATATAGGAAACAAAAATTTCCAATGTTATCACTTATCAACAACAAATTTTACCCAAACTACAAAAAGAAAGATGGAATACTATACATTATTAAATTAATGAGAAGAATATGTTGAATGAAATGATATAAGCATTGGCTTTCTATGCTAAAAATGTAACTACGAAAGCCTAAAATGAATTTTAAAAAAATACTATATTAGTTATCTTCTGTTATAAACTTTTAATTTTAATTTTTTTTAACACCTAACTTTTACTAATTGTATTCATAAAAATACATATATATTCATATAACAAATAATCCTAAGTACATGTATAATCTGACAATATGATTATTTTGTAATATAAATAAATAAAATTTATAAATGTACTTGCAAAACGTTTAACGTTTTGGAAAATTTTAACTAAAAAAATACTAAGATCATTATAATTAAGTAGGCAGATTAAAGAGAACTAAACATGAGGATTAATTAGAGTAAAGAGGAGTGGATGAGGAGCTGACGTGGAAGCGAGAGTGACGTCATCTGACAGTGAAGAACACGTGACACTCGCCAGCAAGGAAACAGTAATGGGAATCCAATTCCAACTAATCTTTTTCCTTGCGGCAACTTTTGTCATTTACCGTTACCATTTCAACGTCTTTTCACCGTCTCTCCTCCACGCGCTTCCCGAGAGCGTATCATGCAACACTTTTTATCTAAACCACTGGTTTAGACCGGTTATTACCGATTAACCAAACACAGACATTGTCCGGTATAACTAAACTAACATCCAATTATTCTCGTTATTGGTCTTTAAAAATTGACAAGTATTGAAACAAGTCTTTTGGTCGGATTAGAATCTTAACGCAACTTGTCCTCAAACATAATATAGGGATACAGTTGTACACATCATGACGATAAATCATTGATTAATTAAGTAGAGTTTATCATTAATTAATTAATTATGGATTTTAGTACTGATCTGAAGCAATAGTAGCATCAGTCAAATTTGTTTCTAAAATAAAAATTTTAAACAAATCCATAAACACAGTTTCCTAGTTGTTTCAGTATTGAAGAACTTTAACTCTTTCTTAAACCCAAATTTCTGAATTTCTCCAGTTCTTTCTTCTTAATTCGCAGGTTTTGGTCCCTCTGTCTTTTTCCGCTGAAATTAGGAAAAAGTTTCCTTTTTTCGTTCTGGGTTTTGGTCTTTTTCTTCTCTGATTAGTATTCCTCGAGTGTCGAGCTTTATTCTCAAGTGTCAAATTATTGAGAGGGTAAAATTTACTTCAACGACGAAAGTTCATTGAACCTTAGCTCTTACGTTGCGTCTTAAATCTCATTCTCACCCACATAAACAAAAACATAAAGTTTGCATTTTTTTCAGGATTGGGTTTTTGGGGAATTTAAAGGACAATACTTTACCTTTTTTGTTCGTTTCAATTCACCAACCATTGAGCTCGTTGATGACGATCCCTCTACTTTTCCAGTAAGTCTTTTGTAATCTTTTTCCTCTTCTCAAGATTGCTACTTGTTTGATTTCTTATGGATCTTGTCGCTTTCAGATTCGTAGACATCGTTTTGTTCGATTGATGTGTTGCTTTTAACTCCACTCTGACTTGGAACAATGGCTGCTAAGAGATCTATCTACTGTCTTCTTCTTCTTCCTCTGCTCTTGTCTTTACTGATCTGGATTCCTTCGATCTCTTTAGCTGCTACTAACCCTGCTGATGGTAAGAACCTTTTTTCCCCTTGAAGATCTCAGGGAAAGCTGCAATTTTTACTTCTAGATTACATTTTGTATCACTGAATTTAAAGTGAGATCTGTTGCATATTGCTTGAGGATTTTAAGATTTTCTTCCAGAGTGTTTCTGAGCATTAATCAGCATTGTTGTAATTGACTTCAGTTGCTGCAATTAACGGATTATTCGCTGCCCTTGGCGCACCTGTTCTTCCTGGTTGGATTGCTTCTGGTGGAGACCCATGTGGTGAAGCTTGGCAAGGCATTATCTGCAATGTTTCAGATATAATAAGCATGTAAGGAAGTCTTTCAGAGATAACAACTCTTGAGTTATCTCTTATAAATCATTGAATCTTTCTGTTAATTCTATTTTGAATGGTTACAGAACTGTAAATGCTGCAAATTTGCAAGGAGAGCTTGGTGACAACTTAGCTAAGTTCACTTCTATCAGGGGAATGTAAGCATTGACACACAAAACTTGACGATTTTGACAAGTTGATTTGGATATTTCTTGTAACCTTTTGTATTTGGTTATCTCCAGAGATTTCAGCAACAATCGCATTGGAGGAAGCATACCTTCTACTTTACCGGTTACATTGCAGCATTTGTATGTATACACCTAACAATGTATATTTTTTTTAATAGGGTTTGTTGCTTTGAACAGTTTGTATGATAATGGTCTTTACCTTTTGGCAGTTTTCTTTCAGCGAATCAGTTCACCGGAAGCATCCCAGAATCTCTAGGAACATTGAGTTTTCTGAATGACATGTAAGTTCAGATTACTCCCAAATTCTTTTTTTCCATTGCTTTGTGCTGATGAGAATCATATTATTTGTTTTCAGGTCTTTGAACGATAACCTTCTCTCAGGAGAGCTACCTGACGTGTTTCAAAACCTTGTCGGCCTGATTAATCTGTATGCTTCTTCTTGTTTATAGTTGGTGAACAGTTATTGTTTATATGGGTTGTTTTGTGATCTGATATCTTTGTGCAGTGATATATCATCTAACAATCTAAGCGGCACATTGCCTCCTTCAATGGAGAACTTGTCAACTCTTACAACATTGTAAGTTTTGTTCATTACAAAAAAAAAATGTTGAATGTCTTTTGGCTTCTTTCTTCACTAAGCTGATAGTCTGAGTTTTGCAGACGTGTTCAGAACAATCAGCTCTCAGGAACTCTGGACGTCCTTCAAGGCCTTCCTCTTCAAGACTTGTATGTTTCTTTCTCTAACAAAATATGAGTACTTAACTTAAGCAGTGATAACTTTTCAAAAGTCTTAGTTTTTGTTGTCTTCTTGAAACAGAAACATAGAGAATAACCTCTTCTCTGGACCCATACCGGACAAATTACTAAGCATTCCGAAATTCCTGTAAGTGCTCTTTAACTTGCTGTTTACTAATACTATGGAGGCATTTCAGGTTCTAATAAATTGGTGTTGCAGAAATGAAGGAAACCCGTTCAATGCCACCACAATCAATTCCACCTCGACTGCACCATCGTTGTCTCCGTCTATGTCTCCAACAAAACCAGCTCCAACGCGACCATTTTCTGGAGTTCCACCTCCTCCAACTGAGAGGAATCGAGGGAAAGTTGCTGATGGACCTTCTGATTCTGAAGGATCGAGTTCTGAGAATTCAAAGGGAAAGAACTCTTCACATACTAAAAGGATAATCCTTATTGCATTCGCTGGCGTCCTCGTCTTCATAATTCTGGTTTTGGCAATACTCTTGCTGTTGCCAAAATGTGCAAGACGAAGAGAACATGCTAACAGAGTCTTCAAACCGCATCAAGTTGGTGCTGATAGAGGAAGCAGAGAGAATGCTCTGGAAAATGGGCTTCCAGTACCGCCACCACCTGCTCGATCTGAAAAAGGTGAGATTGAAGTTTGTAACTTTAGCTATTGGTTCCTACTCTCATTCGTTAAGTAATGCTGGGATTGTGCTTATGAACAGTTCAAAGGGAACCCTTCAAGAAAGCTGGAGAGGAACCAAAGGTTTTACATGACCTTGAGAGGCTGCGGAGACCTGCGCCTATATCAAGACAGGAAAGTCAAGATATTGACTTTTCAATGTTGATGCCTCCTCCTCCGCCACCTCCTCCACCACCACCACCTCCTCCTTTGGCTGAGAAGGTCACCGTTCTGCCAATTATATCACCCGAAAGACCCGTTAAGAAACCTTCCCCTAAACGCTTACCCTTAACTTCTGTGAAGCACTACTCTATTGCATCTCTTCAACAATACACAGAAAGCTTCGCTCAGGAAAATCTCATTGGCTCAGGCATGCTCGGGAGTGTTTATAGGGCCCGGCTTCCCAATGGAAAGGTATTATGCACTTGATTTAAACATTTTCAGGCTCAGAAACTCTGCTTTGGTTTTGAATCTTTTATCTTTAATTTTGTCCTTTACAGTTGTTTGCTGTCAAGAAGTTGGACAAAAGGGCTTCTGAACAACAACAGGATCATGAATTTATCGAACTAGTGAACAATATAGATAGGATTCGCCACTCCAATATCGTTGAACTTGTGGGTTACTGTGCTGAGCATGATCAAAGACTATTGGTCTACGAATATTGCAGTAACGGTACGTTACAAGACGGGTTGCATTCAGACGATGAATTCAAGAAGAAACTTTCGTGGAATACCCGTGTCAGTATAGCACTTGGAGCTGCTAGAGCTCTTGAGTAAGCTCTTTTATTTACCTCAAAATGTAAGTGTCCAACCGTGTTTTCTACCCGTTTGCTAACTTTTGTTAATGCTTTCAAGGTACTTGCATGAGGTGTGTGAACCACCTATCATACACAGAAACTTCAAATCAGCCAATGTTCTACTTGACGATGACCTGAGTGTTCTTGTCTCAGATTGTGGTTTGGCCCCACTAATATCATCAGGCTCTGTGAGTCAGGTAAAAGTACTTAACACCCATGAGCTTGATTCTGATGGCTTTTACCCTCTACAGATTTCAAGATGTAAAACTAAACTGTTTCTTATAATAATAATCAGTTATCAGGACAATTGCTAGCCGCTTACGGATATGGAGCTCCAGAGTTCGACTCTGGAATCTATACATGGCAGAGTGATGTATATAGTTTTGGTGTTGTTATGTTAGAACTCTTGACGGGCAGAATGTCCTACGATAGGTATGCATGTCACTTTGTTTTACTTGCATAGTTTATTTGTTTACGGTTAAGTGTGTATTCATTATCAATGAGTTGATTATAGGGACCGGAGTAGAGGAGAGCAGTTCTTGGTGAGGTGGGCAATCCCTCAGCTTCACGATATTGATGCATTAGGGAAAATGGTTGATCCATCTCTCAATGGACAATACCCTGCAAAGTCGTTGTCACACTTTGCTGATATAATTTCCCGGTGTGTTCAGGTAAAGCACATACTGACAATTAGAAACTGTGGTTAGATGCTTGTGATTGTGTTTGCTTTACCAAAAGAGTTTTTTTTCTTTTCTAGTCTGAACCAGAATTCAGACCATTGATGTCAGAAGTTGTTCAAGATCTACTAGATATGATCAGAAGAGAACGTCATGGTTCGGGTGATTCTACCGCAGACTAGTGAATTGTAAAGAAGCATTTTTTATCGGATCATCTCTGTGAATTCGTGGAAACAAGAGATGTTCAGTTCTCAGAAACAATAACATAGGGAACTAAACCAGACACATAAAAAAAAGTCAAAACCTCAGGAGGAGGCTTAAGCTGATTCTACAGCCAAGAAGAGGCTTGTTTCATGTGAATTGACTCTAAGGAAAAGGATCAATGTGGCTTGCTTCCAATGGGGGATGATTCGATTGGTGCAGAGTTTATTTTTGTGAATCTTGAATCATCTATGTTAGTAATATTTGTTGGTTGAAGACCTCTACTGTAAAATGGTGTGTTTACTCGATTCTTTGAACTTGTTTTACTTAAAGCTCATAGAACTTGCTCTGTGTTATATTCTTTTAGTATGTGTATGACTTTGTGTATTTGTACCTGTAATTTATCCGAAAAATTCTACTTACTAATCAACGGATGTTCAATAAACCATACCAAAAACCGGACTAAACCAAACTAAGAGGAACAGTCCTTGTTAGTTACAGGATTCAATAGAATCTAAGAATATCTTGGAGGATAAGTACTAAACAAAAACAAATAATATTAGTACCTAAGAGATATATATATATGCAGCTATCTCCTCAATGAAACCCGTAACCAGAAGCGCATCAAGCCACCCATTGTTCCTGTTGGAGTTGTGAATATGGTAATCTTCTCAGGAGAACTTATATTATTATTGTCTCAGCATGCTTGCGTTTAAACCTAATTTGTCATTACAGGTACTGTTTTTGGTAGTTAAGAACAAGGGAGATCACAAACCTTTGAATGTAGGTGCTACGCTCTTGATCACTGAAACAAAAGCCCCATTGGGTCGTGTGGATGGGTATTTCTTTGGATCTTTAACAAATCCTCACTATATTGTGAGATTGGCGGATTCAGAGATGCAAGTCCCTCAAAGTATAGGTCTCTCGTTCATTGAGGAATTTACACAACATATTGAGGAAGAGGATCTGTACAAGAGATTTCATTATCCAACCGGATATGAGTTTGACTTAATTGAAGAAGAAGGTGAGTGCGGCCCAATGGAAGTTTTGGGAAGGACTTCATATCATTATGAAAACCGAATATTTTGTTTGCAGCAATATGAACCAATGATGTACCAGCAAGAGCAGATATTCATGAGACCTGAGACCAACCAGCAAGAGCAGCAATATCAACCAATGATGTACGAGCAAGAGCAGCAATTCGTGAGACCTGAGACCAACCAGCAGAACCAAATGGGCATTAATCTTTTCCCAAGGCAAGCTCCAATGATGCAGCACCAGCAATTCATGAGACATGAGAGTAGTCAGCAGAACCAAATGGGCATTATCCCAAATCTAGTCCAAAACCAAGCTCCAATGATGTACAACCAGCAGCAGAATTTCATAAGACCTGCTGAGATTATCCCAAACCAATCTCTGATGCTAGTAGCAGATCTGGTTGGGTACCTGAAGCAGTATTTGAGTGGTCAGATGTCAACAGTAGTACAAGGTGGACCGTCAGGATCGTTTGGTGTAAATCTGAACTATCACAACCAACAACAGTTTGGATCGGAGATGGATTTCAATCCCCAAACGCAGCCCACAATAATGGAGTCTCAGCTGTATGACGCTGGACCATCTTCGTACCGTGGTGGGAGAGGTCGATACTAGCACAACTGCAGAAGCCTAAGTAAAACGATTCTTGATATCTATTTTGAACCCTTTTTTCTACTCTCACATGACTGTTCTGTCTAGATCAGCTGAAGCTTTGTGTGTTTTTTTTTTTTTTTTTTTTAATTTTCTTATTCAACTTTTAAGGCCATCTTTTATTAATTAGCTATCGTTTTTGGTTGAAGTACTTGTCTCAATTCTGTAGCAAAATCTCTAAATCTCAATTTGGTCATTTTCTTTGCAGTGATATCATGGTTTTTGTATGTATAAAAGACTTTGACGCTGATTAGGTCTTGAATAGACGATTTGTATCTTCTGTCTGAATCAATTTCAATCATTGGATAGCAAAAAGGGTTTTAGGGAATGAAGAAAGTGATAGGACCCTCTCATTAGCGAGGGTGAAGAGACACGTTTTTAGGGTTTAAGGTTTTCAGAGACAGAAACTGAATGTGCCCGTTTCACGTTTAAGAGAGCGTGAGAAAACAAGTCACAATGTATTGGAGATAACTTGGGGAGTAAAATCAAAGTGAAAGCTCCGAGAATATCTCTTCTTTTAACTAACAGGTATTAGATAAACAAAAACAACTGCAGAAGAAGAAGGCAACAAAGAGAAGAAGTGAAGGAACAAAATCGTGTATCACAAGTAACAAGAAGAATAAAAACTGTGTGCTGGCTCCTACAAGATCAGAAGTAGAAACATGGCTGTCTCTTCCATACCCATATCATCATTATCCAATACGATATCATATTATTCTAAGGTCGAATCAGATGCAGCATCCAGGATTAACAGAGCCTTTAGTTACATTTGTAGGTCAAAACCATTTAAACGAACCCATTGGAGGGCATAGTTGGTCTCAGTGAGTTTCCCCAAGTTATTCAGCAGCAACATTGTGGATTTAATCCGGAGAAGAAGATCAATGTTCTTACTTTCAACTAGTGGGGACTGGGGAGTTTCGGTTTTTGTGAATCTTGAATTAGTCTCTGTTTGTATAACTTTTGTTCGTTGAAACCTTCTACTATCAAATGTGTACTCGAATCTTTGAATTTGTTTGTATTAAAAAGTTTATAGAACTTGCTCTGTGCTTGTTATAGGATATTCTCACTTGAAACAATTGTAATTACTAATTGAAGTGAGGTCCAATAAACCGGACTTAACCGAACTAATCGGATCCGATTTTGTGATTACTATTTCTTTCTTGAGTATAAAACCATGGAGCATTTTTTAATTGCTTTCATTTTCTCGTCTTCATTAATTCTTCTTCTCCCTCTCTCTCTCTCTCTATTTTTCTTCTCTCGTCTCTCTGCTTCGTCTCTCATTTTCTCCTTCGTCTCTCTCTGTATTGCCATGGATGATAACCCGAACTCCACTCTTTCCATTCTTGGTGGCATAAATTTTGATCCAGAAGAAGAAGATGATGGGTTACTTAAGGTGTTAAGGGATTCTTTAACTCTTCTTCCGTTCTAGGTTGCTTGATCAGCAAGAAACTAATATATGCTTATTAAATACTTGTAGGATCCTCCTCCCATTCAAAGGCCAATTGTCTCTGTTGTGTCGGATTCTTCTTCCGCCATTAATGAAGCCAACAAGAAAACAGATTCTCCATCTTCAAGAAACGGTGAAAGTAGTGAAACAGGAGAGTTAAAAACAGTAGCTGAAGAAGACGACCATAATGATGGATATGATCCCAAGGTAAAGATACGAATTTGCAAGTATGTAAGACGTTTAATACGATCTGGGTTTATCTCCAGTTATCAGAGTTTATACATAAACTCTGTTTTGATTTGACAACAATTGCATGCTTGAGTTACACGCTTATTTTTTTTAGTTAATATTGCTTAATTGTGAAAATTTGGTAATCACGCTATGCCTCCTGCTGAACCTGAATCATTGTTAATATCCTCTGGGTCGTGTAGATGGCTTGAATGTTACATTTTTTTAAAACCTAACTGGATTGTAATATGCAGGTTGATAGGGGAAAGAGAAAGCTTATGGGTGAAGAAGAAACAAGCAACTCAAGAAAGAAGATGGCATTTTCAAACATAGTTTCTGGAATGCAGTATCAAGCTTCTGCAGAGGAATCAAGACACTTGCAGCAATATCTGGGTGGTCCTAGTTCAGCAGCTCCAGTGCAGCGGCTTAATGCTCGACAAGAAGGAACGTTTTCTCAAGCTTATGATGACCAGCATAGACCATGGCTTAATCCGAGGAGATACAATCACTGTGATAGGGCACAAAGATCGATCTCTTCCACAGCTCCAGTGCTGCAGCCAGTACCAATATATCAGCCTTCACATCACAATCAGAATCCAAGGCTTAATCAGATTGTTAGGAGTGGTCCAACGATGAACCTGCAGCAGCAACTCAGAGGACCAAACCATGGATCAACATCGTCTACAAGTGATGGAAACAATTTCAGGGAACCTATTGGTATGGAGCGACAACGTTTTCTAGATGCAGCACCTCGGAACACATATCAGCAGCTTTCAGTGGCTAACCAGATTCGAGGGCCTGCATTAGTACATCGCAACTATGAACCATGGAGTCTTCAGAACACATATCCTCAGCATCCTAGTTCAGCAGCTCCAGTGCAGCGGCTTAATGCTCGACAAGAAGGAACGTTTTCTCAAGCTTATGATGACCAGCATAGACCATGGCTTAATCCGAGGAGATACAATCACTGTGATAGGGCACAAAGATCGATCTCTTCCACAGCTCCAGTGCTGCAGCCAGTACCAATATATCAGCCTTCACATCACAATCAGAATCCAAGGCTTAATCAGATTGTTAGGAGTGGTCCAACGATGAACCTGCAGCAGCAACTCAGAGGACCAAACCATGGATCAACATCGTCTACAAGTGATGGAAACAATTTCAGGGAACCTATTGGTATGGAGCGACAACGTTTTCTAGATGCAGCACCTCGGAACACATATCAGCAGCTTTCAGTGGCTAACCAGATTCGAGGGCCTGCATTAGAACATCACAACTATGAACCATGGAGTCTTCAGAACACATATCCTCAGCATCCATCAGCTAACCAGATGACCAATCCAATGCCAGGGCAAATGAGGCAAATGCAGCATTCGATGATGTACCCGTATCAGCATCCAGTGGCTAACCCGCAGAACTTATATCAACATCAAATGGCTAACACCGAAGCTGAGCAGAATCAAATTCAACAAATGCTGCAACTTCCGTCTCAAACGCAACAGCCAACGCAGTCTCAAGGTTTTAACGCTGGACCATCTTCTGAACAAGGTCAAGATCAGCAGCAGCCTAGGTAAAACGACTCTTGACATGGTTTTCAAGTTTATCTTTTAGCTAAAACTCTCTTGGGTTGATTTTGGTAACTGTAAATAAACTGGTGATGATGACTGTTTAGCATTGAAAAAAATCTGAACAAGCAAGAGTAATACCAAAGTTTTCTTCATTATGAAGTCCTAAACAAATGGTTTCAATTTCGATACTTAAAAGTTCACTCTTGACTCTACTAGTCTTAAAGATCTCTTTTTTAGAATGCCCAATTTTGTGAAATTTCTTAGAGATTCATAAACGTTGAAGCTATTCGTTTAATAAGATGAAAATGGGAATCTTTTAAATTCACAAAGATCTGATTTTTAAACAAACCCATCAATAACCAAAACCCATCAAAGTCTATAAGATTCAATCTTCAAAACAAAACATAGAATCTATGGTTTCAATACACAAGATGCGATCAAAGAAGGAATTAGATAGTCGCTTTCCTCGGGATAATCGTTTAGGTCATCAAATCGTTTCTCATCTCCAAATCTCTCTACCTTTCAGTGGAAAGTTCACTATAGTCGTTTAAAAGACTCTTTTTACAATGCCCACTTTGTGTAAAACCGAATGAGAATCAAAGAAATATCGAACAGCAACACGCAGAATCAGAAGAAAACAGAGCTGAGTAAATGGAAGGGTGGAGCAGCGGGCACATGTGTTTTTTGTCAAAACAACTTGGAGACTCGTGATCACCTTTTCTTTGATTGTCATTATAGCTCTTTGATTTGGGCAGCGTTGGCTAAGGGACTTCTAAAGGCACGATACACAACCAACTGGTCTCTTCTAGTTGAGTATGTTTCGGAAAATCAACTTGAGAAAGTGGAGGATTTTCTCATCAAATATGTGCTTCAAGTGGTGGTTTACACGATTTGGAGAGAAAGGAATGGAAGAAAACATGGCGAAAACCCACAAACGGCGGAACAGATCACGGGGTGGATTGATAAGCAAATAAGGAATCAGATTTCGGCAATTCGTCTACTAGGAGATAGGAGATACGACGAAGCCTACCAAGCTTGGATCAACTCCCGAACTTAAGAAGACTGTTTTGACCAATTCAGTTCTAAGTTATATATTTAATTTATTTTCATCGACATGTTGCACTAGTTGTACAAACGAATATTTTTTCTTTTGAATATAATTTAACATTAGATTCAAAAAAAAAAAAAAAACAGAGCTGAGAGAACCGCGAGAGAGAGAGCTGAGAGGTGACGACGGAGTTGTTGTTCTGTTCTAACGTTTGCTGTCACATAGATTTCTGCATTGGTCTAATATTATCTTGTGCAGCAATTTTTCTTTTTCCAAGGACTTGTTCTGATTAAACTCTATGCATTTCTTCGTTCTCAGTTTGGTTTCGGTTAAGTCATTACATTGTAGTTGATGCATTGGTTTTTTGATGCTCTCATCAACTTTATAAATAAGCTAGCTATTGGGAGTTTGTAATTTTCATTTAATTTTCCCCAATTTCTGCTGCAAAATCTCTACTGAGTTTCTGAATTTCTGTCAACCCTTTAATAGGTTTTGGTCAGTCTTTTAGTAATATCCTGTGTTTATTTGTACAAAAAAAAGATCAAGACTTTGATGCTGGTAAGGGGTTGAAGAGACAATTTTTGGATATACTATCTGACATTTTTGTCACCTGTCTTGAATCAATATGATTCATTGGATGGGAAAAAGGGTTTTTAGGTAATGAGGATAGTGTCTAGGACTAGCTGGTGTGAATCAGTGACCCATTAGCAACGGTGAAGATACACGTTTAGGGTTTAGGGGTTTCAGTTTTCAGAGATGGAAAATAGAATCAAATGATTACTTGGTAGAATCATATTTGAAAAGGTCTTGAATTGAAGGAAAATAGAATCACAGATGTCAAAAAAAAAAAAAAAAAAAAAATGTTCTCTCCCCAAATGAAATATTAGTAACATTTAACAACATACCACCAAAGTCTTTTATTTTTTTTTGTGTGCATAAACCAAACTCTATAACCCAACAACTGCTCATTGACAATTTAAAGCTAACGTTACACAAAACCAACGGCGTCGTTCTCATTCTCTACGCATAATCAGAAGGAAGCCTAATAAGTACTAGAAACAATGTTAATGGGCCGAAGTAGAAATAGAAATAGGCCTTATAATAATTGAGCCCATTTAACCTGTTAACGTTGTCAAACGTCCCACATCGCTTAGAACAGTAGCCGAAGCTGCGTTTATATATGGTTAGAGTCGGAAGAGTGATTGTCCCTTCGGGGACATCCGATAAAATTGGAACGATACAGAGAAGATTAGCATGGCCCCTGCGCAAGGATGACACGCATAAATCGAGAAATGGTCCAAATTTTTTTTGACCCAAAATTCTGATGAATGTGTAACCCTAGATCTATCTCCAGTTTTGTATTTTTAGCTATTGCAGCTTTGATTTGATGTTCGCTGTCCAATGAGTTTTCAATTTCTCAATTACGAAATATATCTTAATGTTTTAAATCTCTTTTACCGTAATAACTTATGCTACAAAGTTTTCCTGATCGATTATGAAACCAAATTATCGTTGTTGTTGTTTTGTTCCAACGTTTGTTGTCAAATAGATTTGTGCATTGCCCTAATATCTTCTGCAGCAATATTTTCGTTTTCCAAGGACTTGTTTTGATGATACTCTATGCATTTTTTTGTTCTCAGTTCGATTCTTCAACTCGATTAGGTCATTACATTGCCGTTGATGCATTGGTTTTTTTTTATGCTTTATAAGTAAGCTAGCTATTAGTGGTTTGTAATTTTCCCAATGTTTCTGCAAAAATTCTATTGGTTCCATTTCCTTTTCGGGTTCTTGAGTTTCTGAAATTCTGTCAACCCTTGAATTGGTTTTGGTCAATCTCTTTAGTAATGCCTTGTGTTTATTTGTACAAAAAGATCAAGACTTTGATGCTGGTTAGGGGTTGAAGAGACAATTTTTGGATATACTATCTGACATTTGTCACCTGTCTTGATCAATTTTATTCATTGGATGGGAAAAAAGGTTTTTAGGATAGTGTCTAGGACTAGCTGGTGTGAATCAGAGACCCATTAGCGAGAGTGAAGATACACGTTTAGGGTTTAGGGGTTTTAGTTTTCAGAGACAGAAATAGATGTTCTCCATTTCTAGCAAGTTTTGGTTACTCTTATTAAAGCTAGACTGAGTCTTATATCCAATTGGACAGGAAGGTTTTTATGTGGTGGATTAATTGCCGTTACATATGTTTTAGCTTTAAACTCAGAAGTAACAAATGATTACTTCGTAGAATCACATTTGAAAAGGTCTTGGAATTGAGGGGGAATGAGTACATTTGATGAAGCTATGTACCATTGAAGAAGTTAGCCAATGTTTTACTTGACGGGTATCTAATCTGAGTGTTCTTGTCTCAGAATGTGGTTTTGGCCCTGTGAGTCAAAAAGGACTAAACAAGTAACTTCTTATGGTAACTTCTATGGTTTCACCATTTCAGTCTTCAAGATCCAAAACAACTAACTCTTTTTTTATCATCATAATCATTTATCAGGACCAACTTCTAGCCTCTAATTATGGATATGGAGCACCAGATTTCAACTGAGGAATCTATTCATGGCAGACTGAATTGCAAAGAAGCATTTACTTCACCAGTGAGATGTTCAATTCTCAGTCACAACAACAATAAAGGGCAACTAAAGCTAAGCCATAAACACAGTCATAACCTTAACTTGATTTTGCAGCAAAGACGAGGCCTTTTGTGTTTCCGGTTGCTAGTGGATTGGCAACGAGAAGAAGATCAATGTCCGTGCTTTCAATTGGTAGGGAGTTTTGGTTTCTATGAATCTTAAATCAGTCTCGGTTTATATGAAACTTCTACTGTAAAATGGTGTATGTTTATATTTAAATCAATCTTTGAATTTGTATTTAAAAAGTTTATAGAACTTGCTCTGTGTTTTGTATTTAAAAAGTTTATAGAACTTGCTCTATGTTTTGTTTCCTTGATTCTGTGAAATTGTGCTTGTTATAGGATATTCACTTGAAACAAACGGACTTAACCGAACCAAACGGACTTAACCGAACCAAACGGATTAAAATTTTCCTTCCTTGTTGATATTGAGTATAAAAGCATGGCGCCTATTTTAATTTCTTTCATTTTCTCTTGTTCGTTAATTCTTCGTCTTTCTCTCTCTCTCTCTCTCTCTCTCTCTCTCTCTCTCTCTCTCTCTCTCTCTCTCTCTCTCTTTTTCTCTTGCGACATGGCTGAGCCGGAACCACGAGATGATCCCGAATATATGAAAAACTTCCCAAATGGCTTTCTTTATTTTGATGTCACCCATACCTGTTTTCTCGAAGAGGACAGAGATTCGAATCTTGAAGAAGAGTCGGCTAAGATAAATCCGGAGCTTTGTGATGATGTTTTCGCTCGAAAACCACAACTGAAAGACTCTGCTTCTTGTTCCGCCATTAACGAGGCCACCAAGAAAACATATACTTCTTCTTCAAGAAACCGTGACAGTAGTGAATCTGGCGAGATAAGGAGGGTAGGTGATAAAGAAGATGATCGCAAGGTAGATACTATTCCCGGTTTACTTAATTCGCAAGTAAGTAAGATAGATGCTTAAATATGAAATCTTGGTTCTTAAATCTTGGCAGGAATCTGATGAGGAATGTGATTTATACTATAGATTTCATGAGATCGAGAGGTTTTATGATAGATTTTTTGGGTTGTCAGACCATAGAGAAGAAGCTGAAAACAGAGAAATACAGAGCCACGAAGAAACTTGTAGTCTTATTACTCAGCCTTCACATCAGAATCCAAGGCTTAATCTAATTGCTACGAGGGATCAAACGATGAACCTGCGACAGCAACTCACAAGACCAAACCGTGAATCAACATCGTCTACAAGTGATCGAAACAAAAACCAACCAACTCTCTCCAAATGCAGCACCATGGAGCCCTCATAACACAAATCAGAATCGAAATCGTTCTGAGTCTGAAATGTCTCAAGTGATGATGCCTTCTAGAGAAAATGCTGGATTAGGTCATCAGAATCCAAGGGTTAGTCAGATTAGTAGAAGTGGATCAACATCGTCTACAAGTGATCGAAACAATATCAGACAACCTATTGGTATGCAGAGTCAACTTTCTCCCAATGCAGCACCATGGAGCCCTAATAACAACACATATCAGCAGCTTCCAGTGGCTAACCAGATTCGAGGGACTGCATTAGAAGATCCCAACTATGCACCATGGCGACTTCAGAACACATATCAGCAGCTTCCAGTGGCTAACCAGATGGTCAAGGATTCGATAATGAACCCATATCAACATTCAATGGCTGACCATCATAACTTTTATCAACATTTAGTGGCTGACCTGAAATTCTGGAATGCCCCAAGAAGACAGCCAAGATCATTTGCTATAGGTCAGAACTATTTCAACTCACGACAAGCACGGCCTGAGCTGAATCTACAAATGCTGCAACGTGTACCTCAAACGCAACAGCCAACGCAGTTTCAAGGATTATCTTCTGAACAAGGCTAGCAGCAGCCTAGGTAAACGATTCTTGACATGATTTTCAAGTTTTTCGTTTTAATAAAACTCTCTCGGGTTGATTTTGGTAACTGTAAATGAACTGGTGGTGATGACTATTTAGTCAAAGATATATATTCTTTAAGTGTGGAACAACACGTAATCAATTTCCATACTTTTCACTGAAGATTAAAAGTTCACTCTAGTCTTAAAGTTTCCCTTTTTAGAATTCCCAATTTGTGTAATTTCTTAAAGCTTATGAAAGGTTGATAAACTGTTTAATTAGTCAAAAACTATTCAAAAAGAAAAATGAAGAAGAAAGATTTTCTCTTTTTAAACGATTGGTTTAGCAAGTCAATTTCAATATGTTTGGTAATATTAGACAAACAAATGCAGAAGAGAAGAATGAGTGCAAGTCAATAAATGAAAACTTGTTGCACAAGAAACAAGAAGTACAAAAACAGAGTAAATTCCTTCTACAAGATCGGAAGCAGAGACATTGTCGTCTCCTCAATCCTCAAAAACTAATATCATCATTGTTATCCAATACAATATCAGATTTTTCATCGGTCGATTTATATGATTGGAATTTGGACGGCCAGTATTACATAGAAGAGGTCCAAAGGAGCAGCTTTGATTGCTGATTTGCACTTCTCAACAACGACTATTGACATGATTTTGATTACCATTCTCGCAAAAGTTTCGAATTTTTCTATTGAAAATGTAAATCGAACGTTGAATTTTAAATTAATTTATTTTGTTTCTCTGTCTCTAGGACTATCTCTACTTCTCTAGTACCATCGACATCGACGATGTTTCTCGCTTTCTCTTTTCAGAATCTAAGAGCAACTTCAATGGAGGTTTCTAAACATAGGTTTCTTAAATAAAATTAAAGTGTATGTATAGATAAATAATATTTTTTAATTATGGATACCTTAAATTGAACTAAGTTTCTTCGAATTTAAGGTACCCATCTAATATTTAAATAATATATATATTTTATTATTTATTAAGGATCATGTTTAGAAACCCCCATTGAAGATGCTCTAAGGATCAGTAAATGGGCCTTTTATTACGATCAGATGGTCTAATTCCCATTTCTTATATATTCTTTAATGATGTGGCCTTACAGAAACAAGTATAAAGATATGTTAAATCTTTGTTGACAAAACAGGGCAAAAGCCAGTAAAATTTCTTGCTTTATTCAAATACTAAAACCCAAAAAAAAAAATCACATTACTAATTTGCTTTAAAACAACACCCTGCGAATAATGAATGGGCGGGAATCTGATGAAAAAAAAAAAAAAAGGGCGGGAATCCCGCCGCGGGATCTAAAATTTTCCAACAAAACGCAGCGTTTCAACGCATTTCGATTTTTACGCAGAAGAATGGGCCGGATACTACTTTTACACAAGAGACGGGTCAAATTTGTCGGGTTAATGGGCCGGATACTATTTTTAATTTAAAACGCTGCGTTTTTAACCCATTTCAAGAACGCTTAAATCAACCGTTGGATCATATCTGTTAGGAGAGCAATCGACGGTTACAATTCTTTGACTAGTGATATATAAAACCAAATTACGAATAAACAAAACATTCGTCACAAAAATCATCGCTTTCTCTTTCTCTCTTCTTCAAAAGTCTCTCTCTCTCTACTGATCTTCAAACACCATTGATACAATGATGGACGTGATCATCGATACTCTGAGTGGCTCAACGTTCTCCATTAATGTTGATTTCTGGGAGACAGTGTTAACGATAAAAGAAAAGATCGAGAAGTCTCAAGGTATCCCTGTTGCAAAACAAACCCTTTACTTCCAAGGCAAGGTTCTTCAAGATCATGTTGATAAGTTTGATTGCCAGCTCCTCTTCGACTCTCGTCTCCTTCTCTACATCTCTCCCGAGGATAATCCTAATCAGAACAACGATCAAATGCTTATAGATTCAGCGACAGGCAAAAAGATCACGAAGGTGATGGCGAGGAGAATCAAGAATGAATTTTCATCAAGACCGGCATATTCACTTGATGAGTTACTTGCCCCTCAAGATTCGCCAACTGTGACGGTTGGGAAGCAAGTAGTTCAAACCACCGAGCAGACTCCACCGTCAAACTCAGCCAAAGAGGTCCTTCCTGTGGAAAAGAAGATCAACCCCAGCCCGATGAAACTGACAGTATATGTGAAGCCATATGAAGATGATCCCAGGATAATTAAAGTAGAGGTTGACGCAGATGATAACGTTGACGAACTGAGGAAAGAGCTGGTTAAGATGCAAGAGAGGGGTGAGTTAGATCTGCCTCAAGAAAGGTTTTACTTAGTAGAAAGTGCGATACCATTGATCGAATCTAAGTCATTCGAGCGGAACCTTGTTGTTGACGGCGATACAATTGAGATTCTCAGCGAGCTATCATCTTCTATTTAGTCTTTCTTCAAGTTTTCTTGCTTTGATCAAAGTTCATAGCTTTCTGCAAATATGCTTACGACATGTAATTACCAATATCGTTGTTGTTTAAAGAAGAGAAACAGAGTTCTTGTTTAGTTACATATTTTCGAAATTAGCGATAAAGATTCACTTTTCATAATGCAAGATTATTCATAATTCTCGTCTTCAACACTTCTTCTCTCTTGATCATAAAATGGAGCAATCTCCTCCACCGTCAAACTCAACAGAACAGATCATCGAAGATTCGACTGTGACGGTTCAAACAGAGCAATCTCCATCGTCAAACTCGGTCGAAGAAATGATATCTTGATAGGTGATTGTTGACATGAATTTTAAAGACAATTCTTGCAAAAGATTCGAATTTTTCTGATAAAACTGTAAATCTAGACATTGAATGTTAAAGCTAAACGTTACACACAGCCAACGGCGTCGTTTCTCATCCTCTACGCATAAATCAGAAAGAAGCCTAAGTAAAAACAAGCCCATTTAAGCTGTTAACGTTGTCTAAAAGACTAAAACTCCCACATCATCTATCCAATTTAATAAGCGTCTTCTTGAAAGAATCAGTAAATGGGCCTTTTAGTATGTAGTCAATGATGTTAATGGGTCATAAGTGAATCAGAAATTGGCCCATTAAAGCTGTGAACAATATCAAATCGTCCCACATCGCTTAGAACAGTAGACGAAATTGGAACGATACAGAGAAGATTAGCATATCTTTTATTTTATTTTCCCCAAAATATTAACAGATTCATCATCAAATTCTCATGAATAAAACCATAAATTTCCAGTTTTTTTTTTCATCTGTTGTTCGTCGTTCGTCAGATGGATTTTGCTTTCCATTTCCGGGTAAGTTTCTAAAACTCTCATGCTTCTAATTTCTCCTGCAACAAATTTTCCAGTTCGATTTTGAAATCCTAGGATTCCAAATTTTTGTTGTTGCAGTTCTGTTGTTCGTTGTTAAATGGATTTGTTTTCATCTGTCGTAAGCTGAAAACTCTTATGCCTTTTAACTTTCAGTGCCCTAATATTTTCTGCAGCATTGGTCGTTTTCACAGTACTTGTCCTCTTATGTTTTCTTAAAGGATAAATCATAAAAGAGTTAAATTTGTCTTCGTTGTCAGTTCATTTTTGATTCTGTGATCAACTTTTAAAAGTTATCTTCAATTCCTTAGCAATTTGGAGTCTGTATTTCCGTTGAATTTTCGCCAATTATGCAACAAAAGCTTTGTTGGGTCCATTTCCTTTTTGGGTTCTGAAGATTCTTGAGTTTCTGAAGTTCTAGTAAAGCCCTGAATTGGTTTTGGTCAATCTCTTCACTGTTTCCTGTGTTTATGTGTACAAAAGATCAATACTTTAATGCCGGTTAGGAAATTTTTGCACCTGTTTGAGTCAATTTCTTTCATTGGATGGGAAAATTGGTTTTAGGGAATGAGGGAAGTGTATAGGAAGCTGGTGTAAATTAGCGAGAGAGTGCAGATACACGTTTAGGGTTTAGGGGTTTCAGTTTTCGGAGGCAGAAAATTTATGTTCTCCATTTCTCTAGCAAGTTTTGGTTCTTATGTGGTGGATTAACTGTCGTTAGATTATGTTTCAGGCTTTAAACTCAGAAGAAACAATTGATTACTTGGTAGAATAACATTTCAAAAGGTCTTAGAATTGACAGCGAATGAGGACATATGAAGCTGTGTATCATCCAAGAACTTAGCCAATGGTTTTACTTGACGAGATTTAGCGTGTTCTTTGTCTAAGACTGTGGTTTGGCCCTGTGAGTCAGGTAAACTGCTAAAACCCAAGAGCTTGGTTCTTATAATTTAACCTTTTCAGTCTTCAAGATCCAAAAAAAACAACTCATTTTTTATCATCATGATCATTTATCAGGACAACTACTAGCCTCTTTTGGATATGGAGCAGACTCAGGAATCTACTGAAGCATTTAGTTCACCAATGGATCGTGGAGACGAGATGTTCAGTTCTTAGTCACAACAACAACAACAACAAAGCAAAGACGTAAAAAGAGTCATAACCTTAGGATGAGCATAAGTTGATTTTGCAGCAAAAGAGATACTGTTTTGTGTTTCTGGTTACCTGTGAATTTGCTTTCAGTCAGTGGGGAGTTTCGTTTTGGTGATTCAGTCTCTGTTTGTAATCTTTGTTCGTTGAAAAGTTTCTTCTACTGCAAAATGGTGTGTTTACTCAATTCTTTGAATTTGTTTCTACTTAGAAAGTTTGTATAGAACTTGCTATTTGTTTGTATCCTTCAAGCTGTCAACTTTTGCTTCTAATAAGATTGTATTCATTCATTTCAAACAATTGTAATTAAAGTGAGGTCCAATAAACCGGACTTAACCGAACCAAACCGGATCCAATTATCCACGTAGAAACAAACACACGAGTGGAAAGAGAGAGGACTCTCGGGCTATAAATACGAAATGCCTTTAAAAATTGTTTCTTTCATTTTTCTATCTTCGTTAATTTCTCTGCTTCTCAATCTTTCTCTCGCGACATGTCTGAGTTTATCGATCAAGATGATTCCAAGATGGAGGAAGATTTGAATCATCAAGAAGAGTCGAATTCGGAGCTTTGTGATGATGGTGCCTCTCAAGTGAAAGACTCTGAAGAATCTACGCCAACTGTCTCTGTTGTGCCTGCGTCTTGTTCCGCCATTAATGAAGCCACAAAGAAAACAAATTTTTCTTCTTTATCTTCAAGAAACGGTGAAAGTAGTGAAACCGGAGAGATAAACACGGTAGCTGGAGAAGATAACCGCAATGATGGTGATGATGGATATGAGACGTCCAAGGTAAATATGAATTGCGTAAATACTATTTTCCAGTTACTTGATTCGCAAGTATGTTAGATAGATGCTTAAATGTGAAATCTTGATTACAAATGCAGAGCGATGAAGAAACCAGTAGTCTTGTTACTCAGCCTCAGAATCCACATCGTTCTTACTCTGACACGTCTCTGTTGATGATTTCTCCGAGAGAAAATGTTGGATTCAGTAGTCTTGTTACTCGGCCTTCACATCAGAATCCAAGGCTTGATCAGATCGTCTCTTTTGTGCCTGCTTCTTGTTCCGCCATTAATGAAGCCAGCAAGAAAACAGAAGCTTCTTCTTCAAGAAACCGTGATAGTAGTGAATCTGGCGAGAGAAGGAGGGTAGATGATAAAGAAGAGGATCGCAATGACGGTGATGAACCCAAGGTAAATACTATTCCCGGTTTACTTAATTTGCAAGTAAGTAAGATATGTGCTTAAATGTGAAATCTTGGTTCTTAAATCTTGGCAGGAATCTGATATATACAAGACATTGCTTGGGCTCGATAGTTATTTTGAGTTCTCAGTCCATAACGAAGAAGCTGAAAACAGAGAAGTACAGAACCACGAGTTTCCGAGTTCACCAGCATGGAACACATATCAGCAGCATTCAGTGGCTAACCAGATGCCCAATCCAATGCATGGTAAGATGATGTACCCATATCAGCATCCAGTGAGGCCAATGCATGGTCCGATGATGTACCCATATCAACATCCAATAACTAACCAGATGGCCAATCCAATGATGCCAATGCATGGTCCGATGATGTACCCATATCAACATCCAATAGCCAACCAGATGGCCAATCCAATGATGCCAATGCAATATCCGCTGATGTACCCATATCTGCATCCAATGGCTAACCAGCAGAACTTGTATCAGCAACATCCAGTGACTAACCAGATTCCCAATGTTGTGCCATTTCAAACTCAGATGTTCAATCGAGGGCCTGCATCTGCACCGCAGAGACTTCAGAACACATATCCAGTGGTTTACCAGATGCCAACGAGGATTCCAAGGCATGTACTTCAACAACTTTCAGGAATGAGGCCAATGCCGTATCCAAGGGGTAATCAGCAGAACTTCTATCAACAACATCCAATGGCTCACCATATGCCAATGCCGTATTCAATGGCTAATCAGCAGAACTTCTATTACCAACGTCCAGTGACCAATCTAGTTCCAGCGCAAAGCACGATGATAATGCCGGCTGAATCACATGTTCACTGGTATGATACTGAACAATGTTTAAACAGTTGGGGAATGAGGCTAATACAGGATCCAATGATGTACCCATATCAGTATCCACATGCTAACCATCTGAACCAGAGGATGCCGCAATTCAGAAGTAATCAGTTGTCTACAACAATAACACCAGATGGACAGACAAGATCAGTTGCTATAATTCAGGACCCTTTCAGCCCGCAACAACGTGTTTATTTGGTCTTAGATGTAGTACCACAGGCTCAGGTGAATCATTTTCTGCAACGTCAAACTCAAACGCAACAACCAACGCAGTCTCAAGGTGGTGACCGTGGGGCGTCTTCTTCTGAACAAGGTGGATATCAGCAGCAGCCTAAGTAAAACGATTCTAGTTTTTCTTTTTATCAAAACTCTCTCAGATTGATTTTGATATCAGTAAATGAATTAAAGTTTTCTTCATTGTGATACTAAAGGTTCACTCTACTAGTCTGAAAGGTTTTCTTTTTACAATGCCCATTTTGTGTAACTTGTTAAAGATTGAGAAACGTTGATCAACTGTTTAGCTCAAAACTCTGGAAAATCAAAAGAAAAATTGAAGATGAAGAAAGATTTCACTTTCTCAATCGTGTTGGTTGAAGCAAATCGTTTCTCATCAATTTCAATCTAGTATTCATAAAGATTCTTTTTTTTTTTTTACAATGCCCACTTTTGTGTAATCGAATGAGGCTCAGAGAGATATCGAAGAATTTGTAAATTGGGTCTTGTAATCCTGTCAAACCCTGAATTGGTTTTGCTCAGTCTCTCAACAATGTCATGTGTGTATGTGTACAAAAAGATCTAGACTTTGATGCTGGTTTGGTGTAATAGTGACAATTTTAGATATACTTCTGTCTTGACATTTTCTGCACCTGTCTTAGTGAATTTCATTCATTGGATAGGAAAGGGGTTAATTAGGGAATGAGGAAAATGTTTAGGAAGCTGGTTTAAATCAGAGACACAAGAGTGAGGGCACACAAGAGACAAGTTTTAAGGTTTAGGATATTCAGAGACAATTGATGTTCACTGTTTCTAGAAAGTTTTGGTTACTCTATCATGTCGATTGTTTATTATATCCAATTTTACTAGATAGTTCTTACTTGTTGTGGATCAATCCTCGTTCGGTAATGTTTCAGCTTTAAGCTCATGAGAATCAAATGATTACTTTGCAAAATCACACATTCAATAAAGTCTTTGAATCGGCTAGGATTGAGGACTTTTGCATGATGTGTACAGTGTACTGTCCAAGAAGTTGACTAATGTTCTACTTGACGATGATTTAAGCGTATTTGTCTCAGATTGTGGTTTAGCCCTCTGATTCAGCTAAACCAAGAGCTTGGTTCTGTTGGTTTCAACTTTCCAGTCTTCTTTTTAGTTATTATAATACAGTTATCAAGAAAACTACTAGCTTCTTACGAGTTTAAGATTGTGGTTTAGTCTTATGAGTCAGGTGAACTGCATCAAATCATGAGACATGAGACCAATCAGCAAAACCAATATGCGCATTTTTTCCCTATCTATCCCCAAGTCTAGTTCCAATGATGTAATACCCGCAACAGCAATTCAAGAGTGTTCAGATGTTGACTACAACACCAAGTTGGCCAGGAACATTTGTTGTAAATCAGAGCTATGTTAACCAGCAACATCACCATGGCCTTAGCTTAATCAACAACAAATGATGCAACTGCGGTCTCAAACGCAACAGCCAAACATAGTCTCAAGTGGACCTGTCTTCTGACCAAAGTCAAGATTAACAGAGCAGCCTAAGTAAAACGACTTTTGACATGATTTTCAGTTTTAGTTTTTCTGTTTATTCAAGATCTATTAAAGTTTGGAAGAAGGAAAAGTTATCTTTAAAACAGGTATTGATCAGCAAAGTTTTCTTAACAGTTGACAAAAGACCCATTAGGCCATTATTATCTCCTAATCAAATTGATTCAATTTCAAGACTTTTAAGTGAAAGTTCATTACTTCTTTTGATCGTTGTCCACTTTCGTGTAAAACACACTCGTCATGCGCGCGTGAGCTATGGTCGATTCAACAACGGTCACGCGCCTTTTTGCGTGTCAGAGAGTTTCAGCTTCGACGTTTTTCTTTTAAGCGACTATTCAACGTTAAGCTAATGCTAATCCCATAATTAAAGAAAAAAAAACCATAATAATTAATTTAGTCAGATTGATTTTGCCAACAGTTTAAGTTATCGCTCTAGGAAAAACCCTGAATTTAAAAATTAATCACTTTTTGATTCAACGCTTCGGTTTCTCATTTCTCTCTTCAGACCACACCGAATCTAATTCGCAAATCATCATTTCTCCATTTATCTTTCTTCTTCGAAGAAATTGAAATCTTTCTCTCTTTCTGCCTCACTCATTATCTTGTTTTTGTCTACAAGAACTCTGCCCTAATTTCGCGCTTCTGCCGTAATTTCATTCAGCAGCATCTGTCTTTGTCCAAGGACTTGTCTTGTTATGTTTTTTTTTTGAAAGACACAAAGACTTAAACTTTAAGCATTTGTTGATTGTTCTGTTCTTGAAACTCCGATTAAGTTATGAGATCTGACTCAGCTTAGGACTAATCAAGCTTTTTAGCTGCCATGCCAAAAGCAATAAACAGTAGTAAAAAAGCTTTTCTTTTTATTCGGTTGGTGCATTGGTTGTTGGTGTTCTTATCAACTTTCTTCTTCTATTAATTAGCTTTGAATTGGGATTTTGTCATTTTCGTTCAAGTGCCCCAATTCTTAAAACTCTGCAGCAATATCTCTGTTGGGTTTGAAATTCTGGTAATTTCTATCCACGTAATCCACCCTTGTCTTTATTTGTACAAAAGATTAAGACTTTGATTTGCTGGTTAGGTGTTCAAGAGAAAGTTTTGATCTTTTTTGGGGGGATGAAGAAAGTGTATAGGAAGCTGATTTGGATCAGAGACCCATTAGCGAGAGTGAAGAGACATGTTAGTTCACATTCAGGGTTTAGGGTTTTCAGAGATAGAAGAAAATGGATGTTCCCGTTTTTAGCAAGCTTTGTTTTGTCGGTTACTCTTTTGATGTCTGTCATTTATGTCCAATTCGACACTTCTTATGTGGAAGAATCATTGCCTTTTGATAATGTCTTAGAAGAATCAAATGATTACTTTGTAGAATCACGTTTGAGAATGTCTTTGAATTCGACGGGGAATTCGAATTCTTCAGAGGTTCCTAGGTTAGCTTATCTGATCTCCGGGACGAAAGGTGATAGTCTTAGGATGATGAGGACTTTGCAAGCTGTGTATCATCCAAGAAATCATTATGTTCTGCATTTGGATCTCGAAGCTCCTCCTAAGGAAAGGCTTGAACTTGCAATGTCTGTGAAGAGTGATCCGACTTTCCGTGAATTTGAGAATGTTCGTGTTATGTCTCAGTCTAATCTGGTTACTTATAAAGGCCCTACAATGATTGCTTGTACGCTTCAGGCCGTGGCGATTTTGCTTAAAGAAAGTTTGAATTGGGATTGGTTCATCAACCTTAGTGCCTCGGATTATCCTCTCGTGACACAAGATGGTTAGTGATTTTGTTTTAAACTTGCATGTTTTGGTCTTTGATGCTTAGTAGTGGCTTTTTTTTTGTTCTTCCTGACTCTGCAGATATGCTGTATGTCTTCGCGAAATTGTCTCGGAATGTCAATTTCATTGAGCATATGAAGCTTACCGGGTGGAAACTGTAAGTAGAAACCGCTGAAGTAACAACTCATTATCCCGAAATAGTGAATAAGATATGCTTCTCATGGTCTTTTGCAGGAACCAGAGGGCTAAATCAATCATTGTTGATCCCGGTCTTTACCTATCGAAGAAAACTGAAATTGCTTGGACTACTCAACACCGTTCACTTCCCACATCTTTCACGCTGTTCACAGGTTAGCTAGCATCTTCTATTTGGCATTTCATAAACAGGTCTTTTGGTTATGGAAGAAAGAAAGATGGTTTATCTGTCTTGTCTTTAATCTTGCAGGCTCGGCGTGGGTAGTTCTGACTCGGTCTTTTCTTGAATACTCAATCTTGGGATGGGATAATTTTCCGAGGACGATCTTAATGTACTACACCAACTTTGTGTCCTCTCCAGAAGGATACTTTCACACAGTCATATGTAACACTGAAGAGTTCAAGAGCACCGCGATTGGGCATGACCTACACTACATTTCTTGGGACTATCCTCCAAAGCAACACCCAAACTCTTTATCGATTAAGGATTTCGACAAGATGGTCAAAAGCAAAGCCCCATTTGCTCGAAAGTTCCACAAGAACGATCCTGTATTAGACAAGATCGATAGAGAGCTCTTAGGCCGCACTCATCGGTTTTCCTCAGGATCTTGGTGCATTGGTAGCTCGGAAAATGGCGCTGATCCGTGCTCTGTCCGGGGGGATGACTCTGTTTTGAAACCAGGCCCTGGTGCGGAGAGATTAAAGGAGCTTGTTCAGACACTTTTATCTGATGAGTTCAGAACAAAACAATGTTCATGACAGGTAATGTTCAAGCTCAAAATTGTAAATTCATTGTGTTTTAGTTTTACTCTTAGGTTATAGGTCTCCACATAAAGTTATACATAATGATCCATGTCGCCCAAAATTTTCGATACAAAGCAATTACAATAGCAAGAATGGTTAGAGAGAGCTTTAAATTAAACTCTCGCTTCAGCTCTGGATTCAATACAAGAAATTGAAAGGGCTCTAACAAAAAGAGTTTGAAGAAAACAAGAAGTTGCCTTTTGAAATCAAGGTTTAAGTACATTGGTATAGAGGATTGGGAAAAGAATCACAATAACAAGTACAATAGCGAGGATAATGGCAATACAAGTCCATTTCCTTGAGTTCCTCTGAAGTACTTTAGCCCCGTGCAATTGATCAGTCCCTCTCATGACGAAAGAGCTCGCCTTTGAGACATTTGATTCGATGTCGTTGAGCATATTCCCTTGAGCTTCAACAAGAGCAGCCATGTCGAGGAACACTTGGTGCAGCTCTAACAGACTCCGTTCTATCTCTTTAACTGTGTCGTGTCGTTCTTGAATCTCTGATAATGTGTCCATTATTTGTCCGCGACCTTGCTCTTGTATTGCTTTTTGGAGAAAACGTTCACTCTCTCCGCTCGATATGAGCTTCTCGACTGTCTCTTCATCCGCTTTTTGCCCCGTTACAGTGAAGTACCTTCAAAGATTCAACCAAAAAGTCAAAACTTTACCATCTCTTAATTCAAAAGATTTAAAACATTTTTGTAAAATGATTTGGCCTATGTTGAATCAGAGTAACACCCAAATGAAAGAAAAAGAAATAAGATCATATAAATTTACCGTCTCTCAACTGTTTCTTTATACTCAGTAGCCATTTTGGTTCTTAGTCTCTGAAAATCATCCATCATGTCTTTAAGCTTCTTCCCCAATCCACTAACGACCGATGTTCTTGTCCGATCAGCAGACGAGCCAGGACCACAACCAGCGACTTTCCTCTGCGCAGCATTTGATTTCTCCAAAGCCACAAGCTTCGACTTTATCATCTTGACACGTTTCAAGACCTCTGTAACATTCGAATCCATACGAGCACGAAGCTTTTTAACGGCCTTGGAGTCATGTACGGTCTTGGACTCTTCATTAGCATCTTGGAGACGCTTATGAATCTCGTCGACAGCTTTCATGTCTTCTTTGACACTCTCGACATATCCAAAGAACTCATCGAGGTTGCCTGAATCGAGAGAAACATTTTGAGACTCGATGTCATCGAGTTGGACTTGGTGGTTTAAGTCTGTGTATCTCTTGAATGAACTAGAGATTAGATCGTTCATGGCGACGATTAAGAAATTAGAGAAAAATAAGCTCTAATTTCTTGGAAATGGGCAGAGGAACATTAATGGTGGTTTAGATGGTTGGCATGAAGCTAGAGAGACCTTTTAAGAGCTGTCTTAAACGAATGTGTAAATACTAAATAGACATATTATGAGCTGTGTTTAGAACCAGTCAAGGGTTTAAAGACCAAGGAAGACTTTGTTAGTAAGATGGAATGTTATTAGACATTGTGATTTGGTTGGTACCATGTTGCAGAGACGTGGTCTCCAATAAGGATCACTTTTTTATGTTCTGTGGGGAAACATGGAGCCCACTTAACCCATGAATTTCAATGTAATTAAACCGGTGGACCTTGAGGCTTTTATGAGTTATGTACAAAGTCTACCAATAGGCTTAAAAATAGGATTCAAAACAAGAACAAAAGCCTGTTTGGAATATTTATATTCGCAAACCAATCAAACATGTAAAATAGTCTTTGAAAGACGTATAATATAGATCTGAATTGATCTGCATACTCTCTAATCATGGACAAGTCCGACCGGATTATTCGGCTTTAAAATCATTGATATAAGCTACTCTTGTAGAGAGTTCTGTAACACACATGAGATGAGACACTGACACTAAGCTAAAAGACTGAATTCACATAAGAGCAGACTCGATAAGACAACCAAAAACCTCCTCCAAAGAAGGAGACTATATAAGACATTCCTATCTCAAGTATGTAAAGGACCTGTTTTGCTTTTCACCTAAGTGGTCTCTGAAAGCCTCCCAAGTTGAAGAGGGTGTGAATGGAAGCAGCATCAGTCATGAAAGGAATCTGAGCATAGACTCCAGCAAGAGCGCACCGTATGCATTCGAGAAGCAGACATATGTAGGTGAATCCGATGGCCATCCAATAATACATCCCAAACCGTCCTTTGAAATGAATCAGCGGGAAGAAATTGCTCGTGCACCATATGACCTGAAGAGCTGTTTCAAGAAGCATACCCATCATCATGTGAAACCTCAAGTAATGAGGCAGCTCTTTGTTCTTCACCACCCACATATAACCCAAGTAGCAGTAGACCATGAAGAACCAGGTCGGCCATCTGTTTATCGCTCCCGGGATGAAATATATCATGTCTCCAATCGCATCGTGCTTTTCTAGAAACGGTTGGACATAGAACCCAACATCAGATATCTGGAGGGATATCAAATAAGGAACACAAGCCAATGTCCTCCACCACCATTCAGGTCTCTCTGCGATTTTAGGCAGTTTGATTTTAAAGAAATCATCTTTAGCCACTCTTGCAGGCTCTATCGGTCTCCGGTTTCTTCTCAAACCAGGAGCTAATGATGGCAATCCATGAGGAAAGAGCTGGTTAGGTGATGATCCTGCTGCAAAGTCCACAGATGCAGTCGCTGCAGAATTTAACATTCGGGATCAGTTGAATCACAAAGAGCACATGAAAGCCATGGTACAGGACAAGCAAAGAATAAACTTGAATCCAAATAATACCTGTAAGAGGAGCAATCTCTCGAGGACATCTCTGGGAAATTGAGCTAGCTGACAATCTTAAGTTTGCGGATGAATCAACGTTAGGGAAGAACACTCTTGGATTCACAAGTTTCTTTGAAATTGGACTATGGTTCCTGGTTTATCAAAAATGGTAAACTCAACATCAAATCTATGTGAAAGCCTATAACTAGGGCATGTGCAAGACCCCATTTCTAAACCCTTATTTCAAATTTCTTCACCAGCAAAATCAATCGAAATCTCAAGAAATTGCATTGGAATTGACGATTCAAACAGGGCAGTGCGAAAATTAAACATATATAAAATCATAGCAAATCGAACAATCCTAAGAATCAAACGATGCAACACAAATCATCGAAAAAACGAGGAACTCCAAAAATCGAAGAAGGAGGCGAAAAAAGCAGAGAGAGATCGAAAAGGAGAAACGATTATGTCACCTGGGAGCGAGGAAGGTGAGAGAGCCACGGTTAGTGGTGGTCGCCGCCAAACCCTGCATAATTTTTTCTCCGGCGAGAGAACCTTCGAGGCTTTAGGGTTTCGATAGTAAAAAAAAAAATCAAAAATCGAAAAAGACAAGATCGGCGAGGAGGACTAGAGTAAACTTTACGTGCAAGAAATATGAAGCTACCTGATTTTGACGAGGTGGCTACATTTTATTTAGGTCGGTTTTAGTGAAAGTATACCTTATTGGGCTATCAACAAAAGCCCAATATCGCAAAATTAGGTCGGTTACTACCTTTTTTCTTGTTCAACTTCAAACCGAATTCAATTAGGCCGGTTTACTACTATCTTTTTTTTTTTTTGAAATAAATAACTACTATCTATTTTTGCTCAAGAAAAACTAATGAAAAACACCAAATTAGAAGTATTACACAATTAGAAAGGAGTAGAATTAACGGCTAGGTTTAGGCTTGAGAAATCTCAAAGCCTTGGCCAATCTCCCAAATTGAATCGTGAGTGCATATACGCAGCATCGCTAATGATTGGATTATTGGAATCTGAGGATAGGTTTCATCTAAACGTCCATTGAAGTTAATCAACGGGAAGAATTCGCTTGTGCGCCATATGATCTGCATTGCTGTTTCTAAAGGCATTCCCATAATCATATATGAAACCTAAAGTAATGAGGTTGAGGTAAGTTTCTGTTCTTTCCATCCACAAGAACCCTAAGACGCAGTACACCATGAAAAACTTGTGTTGCAAGTTGTTAGCTGCTCCTGGTATCAAGTTTGTGATCGTTTCTCCAATGGCACCGCCGTGTTGTTCAAGAAAAGGTTTCATGTAGAAACCAATATATCTCAGACATTTTGGGATATCAAATAGGGTACACACGCCATGATCATCCAAAACCAATCAGGTCTCTCTTCGGTTTTTGGTAATCTGAATCTTGAAAAGTTTTCAAATCTTGAATCTTTATAATATGCTTTCACAGTCGCAGGCTTTCTTGGTCTCAGGTTTCTTCTCGAACCGAGAGCTAATGGAGGCAAACCATGACCAAAGAGCTGGTTGGATGATGCAAAATCCACATTTGCGTTTGCTATATATTTGGGGAATTAGTTTTCAGTGTAAAGTGTTATATATAGCAAAATCCACATTTGCGTTTGCTATATATTTGGGGAATGTTTTAAAAACCAAGACTTAATATTTGAAAACCAAAATATACCTAAAAGAGGAACAATCTGTCTTTGTGGACTTACTGACAATTTTAATTTGGGGAATGGACCAAAGTTGGAGAAACACACTCTTATTTAAAATCAGAAAGAATCATTACAAGACTAAAAATGCCCAAACAAAATTCACAAATTCTTAGCTTGCAATAAAAAACAAGTAATTCTTTCAAAACAATGAAAGAGTAGTAGAGCAACGTTCTCAAAACCGGCCAATTGAATGTGGAAATGATTACATGAATCAGACGATAGATTCCTGCCATTACGCACAATAAACTGTCCACAAGGCACCATATGCAACTTAACCCGAACACCATCATAAAATACATCCCTAACCGTCTATTGAGTTCAATCAATGGGAAGAACTCGCTAATTGCCAACAGAAGCATTCCCATGATGATGTTAAAAGTCAAGAAAAGTCTCTTTAGCAATACGTTTGCTGCTCCTGGGATCGAGTTCTCATCTTTAGATGCTCTCAATGTTCTCACAGGCTTTGTTAGCCTCCGGTCATGAACAAATATATGGTTGATTGATGATGATGATGATGCAAAGTCCACATCTGCATATTTTGGAAATTAATAAGTTTTCAGTAATAAAAGAGTCATTATATTACAAGACAAGCTTTCAATAGTGACAATAACTTATTAGTTATTACCTAGGAGAGGAACAATCTTTCTTTGCAAACTTGATTTTGGGAATGATGAACCAAAGTTGGAGAAACACAACCTTATTGGTTTCAAGTGTTTGTTTAGGTATGGACTTTGATTCCTGCTTTATTAATTTTGTGAAAACACATAAATCTCTATTAATAAAGGCTAATTCAATAATAGTCATACATGTAAATAATTTTAACAAAACTGACTATTTAAACTTTTAAATCTTCCTTTTCTACGAGCGAAAATCAACACATGTACGAGACAAAAGTAACAATATATCAGATTAGCCCGGGAGCAAAACGGTAACAAAAGTAAAAAAAAATCCACTAGTTGCAAATAGTAATGATCAATCGAAGAATAATATCCAAATCGTAATTAACTGGACAACAACGCATCAAAATAAATAAAAAATGATGCGAGGAGAAAAAAAAAACCTTGAAGCTAGGAATGTACGAGAGATACGATCGATGGTTGTCGCCATATTTTCTCGCCGGCGAGCACTTTCGAGGTTTTAGGGTTTCGGTAGAAAAGCAAAAGGCTCAACGAGTAAAAAAATAATTGGAGTAATGTAGAAACATAAAACCAAGCCGGTTTACAATATACCGATTACGAATATGCAAATCAATTACTGGGGATAGTTTCGACATTTTAGTAAACTAGGCAGCTTCCGGCTTTTCAAATTTCGAAGTTGGGCTTTTATACAAAGCCCAAATACTACAACATACGGGTTCCTTCACATTAAACCGACAACAAAGAAAAGGAAAGTCAATTAGCAGGGGTAGTTTCGACTTTTGGAAGACGGTGTTTTAAGACTAGGGTTTTAAATCAAACGCATTGCTCTCTAGTCTCTATATAACAGCCGCGTTGAAAATCAATACAATCATTCTCAACCTCACGGTACATTGTAAATTAGGGTTCTTTAGTTTTCTCTAGATTTAGGGTTATTGGTATTTTAAGTTCCGCAGGAGCCTCCCGGGCTAATCTGATTTATACAATTCATGAAGAATTAAGCCCCAAAGCTCCTGCTAGATTGGTGCCATTCGTGTTGCAGTTCTGTCTCTTTTATAATCCGGCTTAACTGTGTCAAAGCAATGTCTAGATTTTGTTTTTGAATTTGTGTTTTGGGCTATGATTAGAAAATTATCCGCGCTTCTGAGATTTAGGTCTATGAAGTATACGGAAAACAATGGTTGAATTTCTTAATATGAGCCTCTAAAAGTTTCTTCTGTTTTTTTTCTGAGTCTTTTTTTTGTGTGTTGTATTGAGGGCATTGATGATTAAAACCAGTTCTGCTTCAGATAATTCTTGATAGAAGAACCTGTATACCAAAAAATCTGAGCCTTTTTTTTTAAAAAAATTTGATTTTGTAATTGTTGTTTGCCGATGATGATATAATCCTGTCTTCGAGGTGCAGTGGAGCTGAGACCCTGTTTATCAGGGAGAACCCCTTGGCAGAAACTGCAATTTCTATGAAGCTATATGGATTTTTACTGAGGCTTTTTATTATCTTGTCTTATCAGTTTTTCGTTTGTTTTGTGTCGATACGTGTTCTTTTTCAATGGTGACTCCAATACGTCTAAACTATAAATCTACAGGGGACTTTAATGCTCTAATACCCTCTGGTTACCTCAAAAGTTGTTTGCTAACACATCAGCTTGAGAACAAGACAGATTTGATTAATACATTATCAAAGACGAATTTATTAGTTCTCGACCAATAATTTTTAGATGAACGGGGACTTACAAACGTCGGTGTTTAGTTGATCAGAATATTTTGCACAAAAAAAAAAAAGTTGATCAGAATAATGAAGATGGCAAACTTTTGTTAACAACCTCGGCCCTTTTACTGTTACCAAAGGCCCATTATACATACAAATTTTATGTTTGCGTTGATTTATATATTCATATAAATTATAGGATGGTTGACGCTTAACACTAAAATTTCTTGAATCCTTTCAATACTTCGGCCCTTTTACTCTGAATAAAGGCCCAGTCGTTTGGGTTAATTGATATGGGAATTATTATCACTTATGCCACTATTTTGAAAAAATTAATCTGGCATGCCATCACATAATCTCTATGCCACTAAGATTGTGAACTTCCCTTTTTACCCTTAATGAACTCTATTCCAAAATAAAATAAAAATTAGAAAATCAAAAGGAAAAGAATTATTTAAAAAAAACAAAATCCGTGGGCCCGAATTGAGTCAAACACGAGTCAAAGAGTAGTGTGAACACAATATTTAATATTTTGGTGGAGTTTTTGACAACGAAATAATATTATTTAATAGGATAAAATGTACATAGTTGTACGTAGATGTCTATTTGTCCTGATTGCTTCATAGTTGAACTAAATGAGATTTTATAAATTTGGAGTTGAACCTTAATAAGCAAAATAATTTTCTAGTTGGTCACATTATTTATCACATTATATTGGTGTTTAAGAAGTTTTGATAGGAAAAAATAAGGAGATTAATCGAATGTAGATTGCCGAATAGGTATTTGCATTGGTAATTAATCGAATGTAAATCGTTCTTCTATTGAATCGATTTAGAGTCGAGGCCGACGGATCTATTTTACGAAAACGTATGAATTAGTACAAATGATATAACTAAGTGAGATTAACTGGTACAATGATAGACTATAGGCCAACTGGTACAAATAGTATTACTGTGAGTTATGGTGTAGATAATTGTGTTTTAAATTATTGTATTTTTAAGAGGAGATGAAGAAGAAGATCCACACAAACGTACATTTGGACTATGGAGGGTATTATTCAGAAGGAAATGAGTGGATTGTCAAAAATTCACTGTACAACCAGGACAACTATGAGTTAATTGTGCTTCAAATATGATTTGTATTTCTATGAGTTTAAGTTCCTGGTTCAATTGGAACAACTATGAGTTTAAGTTCTTGGTTCAACTGGGACAACTATGAGTTCTTGGTTCAACTGGGACAACTATGAGTTCTTGGTTCAACCGGGACAACTAAGACTATATTGTATTAAGATTTGTATTTGTATGAGTTTAAGTTCTTAGTTCAACCTAGACAACTAAGACTATATTGTATTATGATTTGTATTTGTATGAGTTTAAGTTTCTGGTTAAACCGGGACAAATAAGACATTCAACTGGGTCAACTGAGCCGACAACAAAAAACTTCTATTAAAAATTAATCGAATTTTATCCCAATTTAAATTAATTTTGAACATTTAAAAACTACAAAATACAATAACTTATATACAATATAATATTTAACATTAGTATTTTACTTGCTCGTAAATTTGTTTTCATACAATTCACTTCTTACTTAAGAAGGAACATTTAGTTCATGATCACCTATGTTGTTGATATAAATATAAAATCTATGATTTCCTTAATTTTTTCATATCAAAACTTCTTAAACACTAATATAATGTAATAAATAATGTGACCAACTAGAAAATTATGTTGCTTATTAAGGTTCAACTCCAAATTTACAAAATCTCATTTAGTTCAACTATGAGGCAATCATGACAACTAAACATCTACGTACAACTATGTACATTTTACCCTATTAAATAATATTATTTCGCTGTCAAAAACCCCACCAAAATATTAAATATTCTGTTCACACTACTTTTTGACTGACTCAATCCGGGCCCACGGAATTTGTTTCTTTCATATCTCACTTTCTCCTTTATTCTTCCATCCCTTCTCTCTTTTCTTTCACTTTTCTCTTTTTCAAAACGAGAAAAGTCCAGATAAATTAGGGTTTTGGGCGAATTTTTTTTGATATTTCTTGGTTTTTGTATTCTCATTTATATTTTTATTAGTTCTTTTACCAGGTCCAACCAGAACTACTAGGTACAAATGCTTTATATGTTTTTCTATTTTAATGTTTTGCATAAGCCTCACTCACTCCCTCCATGTCTTATATGTTTCAGTTGGACCAGCTATATATATTATTACAATACACTACAACTTAAAATTACACAGATCCATTCCCAAATTCAGATTTGCCCAAAGAGTTTTTCTGGGTTTATTCACTTTCTGTGAACCGTAAAGTTCAAAGCTTTAACAATGTCACATAAACATTTAGAATCATCATGAAACTCAATTCAATCTTGCACTTCACAGCTCCTTTATTTGCAACCATTTCATCGCTCGAAAACCTTGTTTCTCTGATTGATCCACCTCTTTCTCCATCAAAGCTTTGAGCCGTATCTCACTCACCGACGACGACAATGGAGTAGACATTATCAGCTTCTAATTACAGCAATAGAAAAAAAGTTTCTGGTTAGTAGCAAGGAAGCGACGGCATCGCAATTCGATATCGGTGTCTGGTCGGAGTAGTGATCGGAGTGGGACTCCAAGATGTTGCTCGATTGGAGCTCATGGGACTTGCTCAGATTTCCCTTTCGATGTTGGTACATATACAAGTGGAGAGCTTTTTCGTGAAGTGAATTGGGGTTTTGATGTGAGTGAGGCGGCGAGGCTTTTACGGAGAAATCGGTGAGATTCCGGCGGAGAGAAGGAAGCTTCTGGTAGATTTGGATTCGCTTTTAGACTTGATCCAATGGAGAATGAATCTAGTTACCAAGCTAACCTGGTTATAGAGGTGATGAGTTTGGTTATGATGAGAAATTTGATGATGAAAAAGATGTTTGCAGAGAAGAAAAGAGAAGAAGAAGATGTTGAGCGATTGTTTTTTTTTTTTTTTTAATTTTTTTTTTTCTGTTTTTCTTTTACTGAATTTTTAAACTTAGGAATTAAAGTAATTTGTGGATTTGGATCTGATCATCGGGTTGGAGCAGGTAATCGGATACTTTAGGTTGGGTGGTAATTTTCTGTTTTTTGTAAGGGCTTTTGGTCATTTCTAACGATTTGGACTTAAAAGAAATTGAATAAGAAAATGGAAAACATAACGGTGGCATAAGCGATTAACATTTCTCGATTTGTGGCACAAGAGGTGAATTCTCTTGATATGGTGCATAATGTAGAATGGTTTACGCTTCTTAGCACGTTTAAAGTTTCGTGAATCCGATCAGTTCAAATTTTATTATGTTACATGCAAATTAGTTTTGATGTTAATGATATTTATTTTTGATTAGGGATAGTGCGGCTTATAAAGATTGTATTAATTGTTTGCAAATCCATTGCTTTTAAACGATTATCGTATAAACAACATATATCTACCTTATGTCTATATGTGCGTTATTTCAAATTCAAGGTAAATTGAATGTTAATGTTAAACAAAGCCATCACATTATAGACAAGAACACCTACAGATTTATACAAATTGCTCTTCGCAAGTCTAGACAATTAAATATATAGTCTATGGTCATGTATTTTTTCCTTTTAGACAGCAAGAGAAAATGGTTAAGTAAATAACACAAAATAAAAACAAGAGAAAAAAAAAGTTATAATCAGCTCAAAGAGCTAAAAAACCGACCCTTTTTCATCATTTGTCTAAACTCCTTGTAATCAACCCTACCATCACCATCAACATCCACTTGTATTATCATTTTCCTACATTCCTCCAAGGTCTTACCTTGCTTGAGTCCCAAGGAAGATAAAACCGCTTTCAATTCATCCACCGTTATAAACCCATCTCCGTTCCGATCAAATACGTTGAACGCTTCCTTCATATCTTCTTCTCCTACCTCGTCCTCATCTTCCACCATTATCGTCTTGTAAAGCTCTCCAAACTCTTCAATGTCAACACAACCGTCACCATTAACATCGATCTTTTGGATAATTTGCGTTAGCTCGTTTTCGGGGATTATGATACCCAGGTTCTTTAATGACTCGTTCAGCTCCTTTGTAGTGATCCTACCGTCTCCGTCCTTGTCGAACATTTGGAACACACGTTTTAGCTCCGTGGAATCCATTTGTTTTTAAAATTGAGGGTTTTTCAGAGGTTGCGTGTGGAGGAAGAAAATGCAAAAAAAGAGAATGATGAGACTCCGAGAAGCCGAGAAAGAGGGGTCTTTCTTGGCCTCTTGGAGACCCGATGAGGGCAATTTCAGAAACTAAGGAGAATGTTAAAGAGAATTGGTGGAAAATCTTAGCCAAAAGCTCGAGGTAATAACATGTAAATGGGACAAAAATAGGAGAGATAGAGAGAGATTTGTTTTATTTTTGGTTGAGAGGAAATGTTGGGTCTTTTATAGGAGGACTTGTGGCGTTGTATCGAAGTCTTGTAAAAGCCGACCCGTTCTATAAATTTCAACCCAAAAACATAATTTTAATTTTAGTCAATTCATATTTATCACAAAATTATTCATACAATACTGGTTTAATTTTTTTATTTGTATAATTCAGTTTAGTTTGAATGACCAAACGAAGTTTTTGTTTTTCTAACCAAACCGATTAATTTAAATATCCAAACAAACAAGATACTATTTAATACATTGATTCAAATTCAATGTACTTTTTTTTTGTTTGATAACCAGAGGCAGAGAGTGATCCGACTTTTTATCGTCCGATTATCTTTAGGGTGAGTGTAACCGTCGAATAGTTTTACTCACCGTTAATAGATCTAAAGACGAGCATGACACCTCTTTGATTGGCTAAACGAAATGATTTACTATTTTACTTTATCATCATAGTTGTAAAGTTAATTGTTAACCTACTAGCTATTTAGCCGGCAAAAGACCAAATCCTTTGGAGTGGTGGTGAAGCACTATGTGGTACTGTCCCAACTATGTGGAGTCTTTGAATTGACTTTTACAATATAACAATAAAGAAAATATGTCAACGACAAAAAAGTAACCTCAGTTTAAATGATATATGTTCACATTCTCAGTTTAATGATCACTTGGAGAAACAAATTACAGCAAAGAGAAATGGTGATTAAAATTATAACATTTGCGAAAAAATAATGGATATAATTAAGTATGCTATAAAATGAAAACAAATAAATAAAAGGAGTCAAAAGTGCCCACACGCAGGATCGAACTACGGACCTTCAGTTTACAAGACTGACGCTCTACCACTGAGCTATACGGGCCTTCGATTATAACTTTCAGTAGTATTATTAAATACCTGTTTTTATTGCAAACACCACTCTTATTATATGTACCAATTACCATTCTCCACAAACAAAAGCTAGTTACTCCCAAAAAAAGTCTTGAAAAAGTGAAACTAAACAAGAAGCTTGGGAAGTGAATGAACATAATATTTCATATAAGAGGCAAGAATTCACAGAGTAATTGCCATGAAATGTATGATTACAGACAGCTTTTATATTATGAGAACCTTCAAACAAGTCTTACACAAAAAGACCAAATCTTTCTTCTTCTCTTGTTGAAGATTTGTTCAAGAGTCTTAAGACCACCATGGAGCATCACCAGTCCTGAAGTCAGTTTCCACCCACGGAACAAAAAGAACCTTCCCAGTATCATCTATATCCGCGTGAGCCAACGCTAGCGACTGTTCCATGAAAACAAGTTTACTTTAGAAAGTATACTCGAGAGATACGCAGGGAGAGGGTGTGTAATGTATGTGACTTACCAATGGCGCTGGACCTCTAACGACTCTTCCTTGGGCGTTGTATTGGGATCCATGGCAAGGACATAGAAACTTGTTCTCAGCTTTGTTCCATGGCACAACACATCCAAGATGAGTGCACACTGCGTTGATACCGTATGTCGCTAGAGTCTTGTCGTTCTCTACAACTAGGTAAGTCGGATCTCCCTATAACATAAAATCCACACCCATTGAGATGCAAGAACCTTTATTGAGATCTTAAAGTAGTGTTTCAAGGAGGGCTAAATAAGTTGTTCATCTTCTTACCTTTAATCCTTGGGTCAGGGTTCGGTCACCGGGACCATGAGTCTTAAGCCATTCCTCAGCAACTACATCGTTTCCAAGTGCATCTTTGGCTGGAGTACCACCACCTCCACCTCCAGTTCTGCATTTTCAAAACAACATAGAAATTAAAAACCGGGCCAACAAATGAAAAGAAACTATATCAAGTCTCATCAATCTCACATCTCAGTAACACCAAAGAAGCCATAAACTTATTCATAACTACATATTGGATTGAATCAAAACCAAAAGCTAACAACATACAAAAGCAAATTCAAACTTCACCACAATACAAAGAGTCTCTAGATTTTCTCCCTAATGCAATCAATGTTCAAAAGAAGAAAGCAAAATCCATGAGTCTCATTCGGGTAATTGTTCAGAAGATACACTAAACTTCACCAAAACAAAACATAAGACAAAGACTAGCCCTGATGCAATCATGTCCCAAAAGAAAGAAATCAAAATCAATTAATCTCATTAACAGGCGTCGAGAACAGAATTGGGATCAAATAGAGGAACAGAGGAAAAGTAAACAGACCCAGGAGGAACAAAGAAGGTAGCGTAAGGGACAAGCATGTAGCCAGTAGGTAGAGAAAGAGCCCCAACAAGAAGAAGATTCAAAAGCTTCCTCTTTTCCATATCTGGAACTCTGTCTGCTGGAATACTCGACGCTTGACACGCAATTCTCAATCCAATCTTCTCTTTTCTGACCATTTGATGATTTGTCTTCGTTGGCTTCACAAACAACCCACGCGACATCGCCATCAAGGCACTTCTGCTAGAACCAAGCTGCCACCAAAAAAAAAAAAAAAGAACTTTCAAAAACCCTATCACTGAAACAAAAAGACCAGATTGTTTCGATTGTTTCGATTCGAATGATCAAGAATGAACCTGAGTAGCAGGGGAAAGGGAGGAGGACGCCATTGATGTAGTCATCGAAAGCTCTAGCCGAAAACGCTAAAGGGTTTTGGTCTGAAGCTATATGTTGTGGAGGAGGATGACAAGTGGGATCACACAGAGAGATTTCAGACCACTGAAGAGAGAGAAGCAGATAAGGCACGCGCCAGCCTCTGTTTCCACATAGCCACATACTTTTTCAGATTTTGGATTTCTTGATGAGGTAAACATTAATGGGCTTTAAACGGATCAATAAGGAAATTAATGGGCTATTATCTATTAGGCCCATACATGTATTTTTCATTTAATTTAATTGTTTCAATATAACAAAGAGTTAGTTACAACTTTATATATTCTCATTTTTTTCTTCATTTTAAATAACGGGAAATTTACATTTTCTCACTAGAGGTATAGATTCAAATGGTATATATAACGATAACGATTTTTAGCGATAACAAATGGTGGTCTGGTAAGATATGACAGTTCAATTGCAATTTTGATTCGTAACCAATAACTGTAAGAGAAGAGATGCTGGTACAATATATATAGCATTTTAAACAAAAGAATTTTGCGCTGTATACAAAATTACACATTTGTCTCATAGTGGTTACAATTTGTAAATTTTGAAAAGTTAAACGGACCTATATATAATTGGGTCTTAGTGGGCTGAGTAACTTCATTACAGCCCATTTAATTTAAAAGATGTATTGATTGATAAGAGGAAAAAGTTAAAGAGATACTGAGAGGGAGTCAACGAAGATGATATGATGAAATGTGCATGGCGTGAGACTCTGCGAGACATGCACTCATCACGTGCTTGCATGTGTGTCTTTTTGCTTTCTTTTTTTTTTTTTTTTTTTTTTTTTTGTTTATTCTTAGTTAATTTAACATAAATAATCCCCAATACATAATTTTTTTTTCTTAATTGGCTAATCAGTTTCACATTATTAATTAGGCACGTAAATATGAAAATCTCCTCATATACGGTGCCACTCTTGCCTTGAATCTTTCACCACTATTATATATAATAGCCCAAAGTTATATTCCAAAGAAAAAGATTTTTAAAAAGTTATCAAGTTCGTACTTCTTCTTTTTTCTTTTTCTCAAGTTCGAACTAATTACATACAAATATATCATGCATATAGTATAGTTTAGACGAATATTTTTCATAGCTAGAGGATTAAACTATATGACATGGAGTCGAATATAACATACACAAGCTTATATATCCATGAATCTATTTTGTTTATAAATCTCGGTTTTTAAGTCCAATATAATAAATCCATCTAGCTAACAATAATAGATCGACTAGTGCCCGTTTCATATTCATGAAAATTGTTATCTTTTGTTTTCATATCTTTTAGAGTTCAATGGTTACAAACTTGCCTTACGCTAGCTATGATTGGTGCACAAAAAAAAACAGCTACTAATGATCTAGTGCATGCGTTTAATATATACATACAAAAATGTATATGACTAGTGTTTTTTAAATGATCAATATGATTTTTTTATTTTTATGATTGATATAAATAAACAATCAGAACATCAATTTGTAAAGTAAAAAATGTTGAAAATACGTTTTATACCAACTAAAATGGTTTATCAATACTCTTTCTATTGTGTTATAATGCTTTTTTGGTCGGCTCTATTTTGGTAATGGTTAAAAAAGCATAACATGCGAATGTTCTTTTTAAATAGATTTTTCACGAAAAAAGGATACAGTAATGTTACAAAAAAAAAAACATAAATCTTTATAGAAATGAAAATAAATTTAATTGCGGAGTGCTTTCAGGCTTTCCCTCTATCCAATGCATCCTATCTTTCTTGTCTTCTTTTGCAAGAATGCATCATATCTCAAAACCTTGCAAATTCGTTATTTAAAGTAAGATTGCATCATAATTTAGATCTTAGAGTCTACTATTACTTGGATTTTATTCACATTAACACCTTTTTTTTATGGTTCATATAATTTTAAGAAGCTTGGCGACTTGTAGGCTCGATTGACGGAGCTGAGAATTCTGTTTTCTTATATCTGTTTTTGAAACAGTTTTTTCTGCACCAATCCTATTTTAAGATGGCGCATATTTATTTTTATAGTTCATATAAAAAAATTTTGTGCACCAATCATAGCTAGCTTTAGGCAAGTTTGCAACCATTGAACTCTAGTGTAGAATGAAACTACTAATCATATTCATATCCTAGTTCAGAATATTTTAAATTTATATATCCTGTTATAAACTTTTTTTTTCCTGTTATAAACTTATATTTATTATTTGCAAATAATTTACCTAGGATATTATGCATATATAATGCTGAGTAATAGTATATCATAAATAGTATAAACAACTAAACATAAATACCATATATACAAATATAAAAAGATGGCGCAATGGTGAAGCAAGGCACCCCAAGGCAAAGAAGTGAGCTCATAAATAAAGTCACTGAGACTTCTTCTAATATTCGTCTGTTCCCTTTTTATCTTTTGTTTTTCATATTATTAAATGAGTTTATTAAAAGAAAAAAGCACCTCCCATGCTTTATATATAACACACTTGAGTTGAGTCATACGAGATTTTGAAAAAAAAAACAATATGACCTATATATATTTCATGGATTATGTGTATAGTTTATATAATCAAAGTTGTTAACGACAGAAGATAAACTAACAATCTTGAATTTAGCAACCCCCTCTCCATTAGTCAAATTTACATTTAATTATCAATTACTTGCAATTTCCGTTATCAACATTTAACTTTTACTCACTATATGCATATGTCGAAGCTTTGGATTCCACGGGAAATTACGAAACTCATCGAATTTATATTACAATGAACAAATGACCTGTCTTCCTTATACATTTGGTAACTAAATAGAGAAATAAGAAATTCGAGCAACATACATGTATCATTAAGGTTTTCTTAATTTAAATTCTGGAACTTGTGTTTTATATATGCGTTGATCATGATGAATCCTTGTGGCTATTAGATGACCGGTCAATGCAAATCTCTGTAATCTATATAAAGGTTTCCAATGATAATCAACTTATTATTGACACGTATTACTTATAAAATGTAATATAATTAGCATATACTACATTATTGGATAAAATACATTACTTAGTCATGCAATTGAAAGTTTGTAACGTCATTTCATGATTTGGTCCCTCACTGACTCACTCTATTCCACACAATCTGCAACTGCAGAAACAAAGTACATTTTAGCAGGGAACTAAATTACTGGGTACTTAGAATTATAGACGGTTAAAAAATCAAACATAAGGATTTAATTTGCATTACTGTTTAATGTATGAAAGAAAGTAAGAAAATAAAAACAAAGAAAAGAAGTATCTTGTAAAGCTCAAACAAATTAAAGTAGGTGGCCCTTGAGAATTTGGGTGTCATATTCTTTGAATCTTCACAAATATGGAACCATATAAATTATTTCTTCATAATTATTTTGCAACTCTCTTCCTTAAATACATACAACTAATATCTCTTTTTTTCTTTTCTTTTCAAAAGCAGGACATATAGTTTAATGGTACGCTAAAACTACAAATGTATCATCAACCGGATTTAAATCTTGCATAATGCATATGTTTTTTTGATAAACAATTGCATAATGCATGTTGTTAAAAGAAAAAAGTTGTCTATCTTCTTTATTAACTAGTATATTAAATATATTACTATAATCACTTTCTGTTGTTTACTAAATAGTACTAGCTAATAACCCCAAAACTAATAAGCTTTTTTCTTACGTTACAAGCATATATTTTCTTCCCTTACATCTTATGTTTGTTAGGTCAGTCAAACCTTTTTTCGTTCACATCAAGAATTTCAAAGGGCTTTTGTATTTCACATCTTCTAGCATAAATAATATATATATAAATTTTCGTTCATATATAGATTAATATTTTTTTATGTTCTCGTCTAAAAATACAGTCCGGCTTGGACAGTAAAAGATAAAAGTGAAAAGAAAAAAAAAGTTGTTCAAATGGCGTTTTCACATGGCAATTTGTTCATTGACTTCTCAAATTTTCTTTATTGACTTCGAAATTTAATCTGAATATATATGTTGGGAAATTCAAAACCTAACAAAAGGTCAGTACAAAGACTTGAAGACAGGGAAAAACAAGCTGTCCAACCTAATTAGTAATTTAAAATGTATGATACTATGTTGGTTAAACCAAAAAACAAAGACTTAAAAGATTTCAAAAGTTAATCAATGTTTGTAACTGTTAATTAGGGACGAGATTCCAAAGTGACGAATCTTTTAAGAGATAAGTTGTACAATAAAACTACATGTAATATATTACATAAGCTCTATTTATGAGTAAATGACCACGTCATGAGGTAAAATATGGTTTCATGATTTGATTTATCTTTAGTTTAATCGCCACTGCCTTAGTCATCGCTATACTTAATTTTATAATGTTGTGAAGAAAGAAAAACTAGAAAAAGATTTTTTTTTAATAAATAATTAAACCATTACACGTATTAGTGTATTACATAATGAGAAATGTTTTAGATGTTTAAACGTATAAAATAATTAATTTATGGTTTTAATACAAACGGATAACTTAATAAAAATAATTTTGGATATACATCATATTTTTTCTATTACAAAAAGAAGAATCTCCTTAAAGCTGAAAAAGATTTGATTTATCTTTGATAACTCTTACTATTAATGAGGAAAAATAGGGTAAATTACAGAGAGATCATATGTTATTCATAAAAAAATGAGTATAAAAAAAAACTCACCAAAAAAAAAAAAAAAAAGAGTAAAAAATCCCTCAAAAGACCAAAACCATCTCTCTCTATCTCACAATAAAGACAACTTCTCTCTTTTAATGTCTCTCTGTCTCTCTTTCTTCTTCTTCATCTTCTAACACCAAATCAAGAAAGAAGGAAGCTTAAGAGTCTATCAATCAATGGAGTTTCATCTTGAACATCCTCTTTCACATTCTTCACTACACAATAACTTCAACGACGACACAGACGATGATGAAACCTTACCACACTCTCTCTTCCTCGTCGAGTTTCAACACATGCCTTCTTCTCATTACTTCCATAGTCTCAAGTCCTCTGCTTTTCTTCTCTCTAATCGAAACCACGCCATTAGTTCAATCATTCAGGTCCTTTTAAATAGATTTTCTGGGTTTAGTTCTGAATACTGAATCGTTATCGAAAACTTTTTTTAATTTTGTACTGTAAAAATCGCAGTATTCAAGAAAATTCGACGACCCATCTCTGACGTATCTTGCTGTGAATTATCTAGACAGATTCTTGTCCAGCGAAGATATGCCGGTAAAAACAGAATCTTCCGACAGAATCTGTCCTTTGTTGTTTCATCTGAGATTTGACTAAATTTTTATTATTGTTTTGTCAACAGCAATCAAAGCCCTGGATTCTCAGGCTTATCTCTCTTTCTTGTGTCTCTTTGTCTGCCAAAATGAGGAAGCCAGAGATGTCTGTTTCTCATCTTCCGGTAACTAAAAACAAAAAGAATGAATCTTTTTACAATGTGAATGTGTTTCACAAGTATTGATTACTAGTGTCTGATCATTGGAGTTTCAGGTGGAAGGTGAGTTTTTTGATGCTCAGATGATAGAGAGAATGGAGAATGTGATTTTAGGAGCTCTTAAATGGCGAATGCGCTCTGTTACACCTTTCTCCTTTCTCGCCTTTTTCATTAGTCTCTTTGAGCTCAAAGAAGATCCTTTGGTACTAAAACATTCCCTCAAATCTCAAGCCATTGATCTTACCTTCAATCTTCAACATGGTAAAAAAATTTGATGTTTTCTTCACTCACAATCATATCTCATGCTTTGAATTGAATGTTCAAAATCTGTTTTGAAAACGTTGCAGATATCAGATTCCTCGAGTTTAAACCATCGGTGATTGCAGGCGCCGCACTTCTCTTTGCTTCTTTCGAGCTCTGTCCTCTAAAGTTTCCATGTTTCAGTAACAGAATCTACCAATGCACATTTGTAAATAAGGTAAAAGTTTTGAACAAGTAAAAAGATCTCGAATCGAGCTTTTTCAACGCGGTACTAAGCGAGCATTAAACGTGGTTGCAGGATGAGTTAATGAAGTGTTACAAAGCAATACAAGAGAGAGATATAGTTGGAGAAAACGAAGCAAGCTCTGAAACAGCAGTAAATGTGCTTGATCAGCAATTCTCGAGCTGTGAAAGCGATAAGAGCATCACAATCACAGCTTCCTCACCTAAGAGGAGGAAAACTAGTACTCGTCGATGTTAAGCTGAAAAGGCGGTTTATGGTCAAACATAATCCCAGATGAATCAATCACTTAGCTACTTAAAAAAACCACTTCTGGTCCCCTTATGAAAATGACACTTGCTTCCTTTCCTTTATCTCCATCCATCTTCTGCTTCAAAATAAGCCATTCTCTCTTCATGGAAGACAAGAGAGTGATGAATGATCAAAGACAAAATCTCGGGTTCCATTCCGTTTCTTGTTCCTTTGGACCACAACACAAAACTCAGAATTCAAAAAAAGATATCAAATTATCAGTCTGTAGTATTTATCTATCTACCTATCAATCATGTTCTGTATTTACAGTTTTGGCTTGTGGAGTTAAGTTGTTTCACTTGAGGGGAATAATCAATAAATATTGTTCTTGTGTAGTATATTTCTCTATAACCCTATGGTTATGTTGTTATTAATATTGAGCAATGTGGTCACGAGATAAAAATGGATTCAATTTTCAGGAATAAGATTTTGTCTTATGAGACTTCGTTATCCGAGTTATATGGATCCAGTTGCCAGAATCTCTGTTGCAGGCAGGCAATATGATACTCTCTGGACCACTTTCCACAGTATTGAAATCATTCAATTGCTTTTGTTCTTACTATGTAAATCAACCCCTTGTACTAACCCATCTTAGGCCCATTAGCATCATAAAAGGGCCAAGATTGTGATATAACATAACAAGTCAAGCCCATTATTGATAACATAGAGATTTTTAAGCTCCAAGAGACAAGAGATTCAAAGTCTGTTGGCAATATATCTCAGACTGTGCTGAAAAGAATGTATATCATGGTTTCCAATTTCAGACATTATTGAGAAGCTAAAAGAATCGAAGCTTCTGATGTAAATGGTAATGCACAACAACAAAAACACAAAGATGAAGAAGATGAATAAAGGGAAGAAAGTATATATATCTATCACATCTTCATCGTTACCTCGCAAAGGAAATCACAGCCAATGAAAGGGAGAGAGAGATCAGATAGGTCCGAGTGTTCCTTCACTTCGACTTCTTCGCATAGAGAGCTCAGATCTCAGACTAGTCAATCTATCAGCAGTAGCAACGTGATAATTCTCGTAAGCAGCTGGAGATATTTTGTGTCCCACAGGTGGAAGACGGCTGCTTCTCTCCTTAGACCGTTTCTGCAAAGCTGCTGCTTTACGAGCTGTGGAGGATCCGGGTTTGTGAGAACTGGATGCACCATGGCTACTCTTCCGGCTACTGTTTTTGAGCTCTGATCTAAGACCTCGGTCCAGCTGATGTGTGCTTGCTCCAAGCCGAGCATCTTTAGTGCCTTGTCTATTATAGTATACCAAATTTGGCAGAAGTCCCAAAAGGTACTTTCTCAGTTGTTCATCACCAACATTCTTCTGTGCAGGGTTACCTTCCAAGCTTATAGCCTGAAGAGAACTGTAATTTGCAGCCAGCTGGCCAAGACATTTGGTGGTTGAAAACTTATTGAAGCGTAAATCCAAGACCGTCAATTTCAAGAGACGATGAAGACCCTCGATTTCGCTGATTTTGTTCCCAGCTAGGTATAGTTCTTTCAGAGAGGAGCAAGAAGCCAGACCTAAGTCAACAAGAGAAAAGACCAGGGAAATACATCAAACACGGTTTTCATATAAAAGCAGATAACTAGAGAATGTTGATGAGCAAAGGTCAGGCCATACCATGACCAAGTCTCAGTATTCGGTTGTAACTCAAATCTAATACTCGAAGCCGAGTGAGTTCACGTAAACCCTCAATCACCGAGATACTGTTCTTCGACAAATTCAATGCATGTAGTCCTCGAGGAAGAGCACCAGCGGTTATTCTAACTGGAAAATATAATAAGGCCAGTAAAATAGAAGAAACAAAAACAAACAGTATGTGAAGAAGATTAGCAAGAAGGAAAACTATAGCTACCTATAGCATTTCCTGAGAGATTGAGAACTCTCAGACCAACAAATGCACTGAGGAATGGTATCACAACCAGACCATGACTAACCAGCTGGGCTGTGGTTGCAGAAGCACTTAGAGAGGATATATACTTTTTCGCAGCTTCCAATCCAGGAGTTAACTTGATGGCATCCACTTTAGCAGAAGCTGTTACTGGCTCATTCAACACGACGGGTTCTCTTGGCAAATCATCGTCGTACCCTGTTATTTCATCAGCTTCCTCAGACAAGTTTACATGCCGAAGGTCATTGACCCAATCCTCGATACGCTTGAATTTAGAATCCTTTCCCGAAAATTCTGCTTGCTGGTTTGATGTTTCTCCTTCAAGGAACTTTGTAAATTTAAGCTCATCTGTTGGTGGTACGATCCAATCTTTTGCCAAAGAAGAATAATCATATGCATCATCATATCCATCCTCCACGAGATTTTCCTTGTTGTTATCTCCAGAATTATGCATATCGTAGTCCCGATCTTGATCTTGCTCTTGCTTCACCTCTTCATCAGTCTCATGGACAGATTTATCTGTTTGGCGCATGTCGAGAGTACGAAGGTCATCAGAGGATCTAGAGTGGTGAGAAGAATATTTGAAAGGTGAAGACTTCTCTGATGAAGAGTCAGCAATATTAGGCATTGAATTCGACCTCACCATCAAAGGTGAATCATGAGGTGTTTGGCTGTTTGAGTTGTCCATCTGTTCACCATATAAGGATGTATCATCGAGTTGACGGCTGTCTTTATCAGTATGATGAAGATCTCCAACCGAGAAAATAGACCCACAGAGTGCCTGATTTGAACCCTGATAAGCAGAAACTGAAGCTCGAGGAGCTTGCTGATACAGATTAGGACTTCCATCTACACGCTTGCTGCTGCCTGCCTCATGAGTACCACTCTGTTGTTCAAGAGAATTTGGAGAAGTAATTCGATCTGATCCATCGTCTGTTCCGTTCTCTGTGGCATCCCGCCCATCCAAGTATAGTTCATTTCCATGAGATTGACTTTTCTTAAGATGCCGTACCTGCTGCGTCCCAATATCATGCTCAAGAATACCACTGGGCTTAATTTCCTCAGATTTCCAGACCCGCTCAATAGCGACAGAGCCAGCTGGCTTGCTGTTTTCACTAATAGAAGCAATATTTCTCCCAAATATAATTGAGCTCAATCCTTTTGATCTAGACCCATCTTCTTTGATCACTCGTTCTGAAAATCCTTCAACAGATTTCTGCATCACCAGAAGATAGAAACAAATTAACGTTCTCTTATCGGACAAAGGAAATCTTGCGCAGAGAATGAAAAACTACCGTTCTAAAGACAAGAGGCAATGATGGTTCAACTTACCTTAGGTCTATGGCGGTGGATGTGAGTGTTGAAGCATGAAAACCTGACCATTGTGTCAAACTTAATAACATGGAACTACATCACCAAAAGGAAACAAAACAAGCAAAACCAAACCACAAAAACTGTTCTTTAATTTACAAGCAACAACTAGAAACAACTAAGATCCAAGTTATGTTTTTGCACGAATAGAAAGTTGTTATAAAAGCTTTAGAGGTGGTGGTATTGTGGGCGTAGTAAATGTTAGCCGTAATCAAGGGTAAGACCCTCAGAAACACGACGGAGCCTCCAAATGATGGAAGCTAGAGAAATCCTTGGAAGAGAGAGTGAAGTCAGCACTTCAAGGCCACCCCACACCTGCGCCGAGGTGCGAGAAGCACACGACTTTGCAGAAGCGGCCAGAGTGAAGAACAATTGTTTCGAGCTTAATAAAGCCCTGACCTTTTTTATTCCCCAATTACTTGGTCACCTGATCAAACAATTGAACAATAGTAAGACAGAGACCACTTTCTAACCAAAAAAAAAAAGAAAAACTTGCAAGTCAGAATTACAAAAGGAAAGAAGAAAATCCATGGAGATCATGTTTCAATACATACCAACAAAATCTAATCAGCAATCAAAAACATCAACTCATTACGGAGATATAAAAGGCCAACAAGTTCACAAAACAAAACACGAACAAGTGATAAAACTAGCATCATACACGAAAACTCGCAGGAACCAACACAGAATCGGAGAACAGTGAAATCAGGAGAGCGAGAGAAGAAGAAGAAGAGATTCTTACCAGAGAGGAAAATGATTGGGATTTGAAACCCAGATGATTAATTAAGCGAAAAGATTGAAAATCAGTTGCAGAGAAGAAACCAAATCCAAAATTATCTTCAAACTTTGAGGCAAAGCTACGCTAACCCTAAAAGAAAACAAAAAAAAAAAAAAAAAAACATTTTTGGCCGAATCAGAATTGTACCACATACTTTTTACGAAAGCTAGTCAACGGCTCTGATTTGTTCTCACGTGACGTAAACTCCTAGTCACACATTATATAAACCGGAACGCCTTTCACGACCAAACCGGTTTATCAAACAAATATTTTGGGCCTACTTCGAGCTTTAACAATATAATAAATGGGCCTTACCTTTGTTATTTTTAATCACTTGGATTTACAACAAACTCAATTCTGTCAAACCGGTAACGGTTTAGGAGCAAATAATAATTTCAACAAAAGATGCCATTACAATCTGTGCTCATACTTGGTCACTGTATCTCTTTGGGGACCGACCATATATATTATAAGTTAGTTACCAAAATCAAGAGAGCTCTAACTTTTTACCAATTACACGATGTAACTTTTTTCACATCCTAAACCGGTTTCATCATATCTATACAAACCGGAATTTCCTAATCTTCCTTTGCATCTTTGCTTAGTCCATAGAAGAAGAGCTAGATTCGTCTGTCTCATCGTCCCCGCTTAAACTAGTGGGCAATTCCACACCAGACCTACAAACATAACATAGTATGATCCAATAAGCCGATTTGATTTCTATTTTGGGACAATATATGCATTACAATGGTTGGTTACTAACCGATTTATCTGGCTTTTTCGTTCAAGAATCTCGCTGTATGATGATTTTGGTGCATAAACTTGCTGAATATACCCATGTTTCACTCGTTTGGCAACCTATTAACATGTTTTAAAGGTCAGAACAAGAACTTGATAGAGCCTCTAAACTTTGTTAAAAAATACATCAAATATCTAAATCTTTAAGATAGTTAACCATCAAACTCACCGGTGGTTCATCAGTCGAATGCAATTTCTCTCTATGCGTTTTCATTTGATTCCTCTCTCCGTGATACTTTCCCGCCTTTATAAGAAGATATCACACAAAACACAAGTCATATTTCCATAAACGAGCAAGAAGGAAGATATAGACATGGAAGTATTAGACAGATCTTTACCATCCCGGAAGATGGACCTCTATCCATTGAGTCAGGGGATCGGCTTCTACTCGGAGGCAACAGCTTCGAAGATTTAGTGAGATATCCAGTCTTGCGTCCGCCATTGAATATATGTTTATCATAATCATGAGACTGATTGGTTTCAATGTTGCTTCCAGAAAGATTATGGAAGTTGGCAATCATATTGTTTCTCGAACCTTCAGCCCAACTTTTGGAGCTTATCCGACCATTCTTGCTGTTAGTTACAGAGATTTCTCTTGGTGAACCTTTTAATGTCTCTTTAAACGATTTGTGGTGAGGGACAGAATTATAGAAGCTGGGAGAAGGGGATTTCCGTCTTGGTTCCCCAAGACTCTTTTTATCTCTTAGACCAGGCTCCATTCCAACCATTATGTTGTCATCATCATCATCATCATCATCCTCTGAATCTGGATCTGGCGAATGCATCTTTGATTTACGAGCTAATTCATAGCTCTATAAAGACATTAAGACAGAAAACGAAGTATAATATTAATAATACCTCAGAGAAAACAAGATAGTTTAGCCAAGGAATGTGATGGCAGATTAAGATAGGTAGGAAGCTTCTGAAAGTTCACTTACAGGACCAGGATTAAAGCTCTTCCTAGTTCCAAGTACATGTGGAGGGTGAGACCGTCTTTGATTCCCAACATAGATTGGCTCTGACAAAACAGTTGATAGAAAAAGCAATCAAATCCGACTGGACATGGGTAAAGGCATTCACAATCTGACACACGAAGAAGATGGTTTTAGCTTCTCTGAACTACTTACTCAATACTCATAACATCATTAACCAGAAGATTAAAGGTAAAAATGAATTTTTTTATCATGACTCACCTTGAACTATAGTATTAGTCTGAGGCTCAAATGCACCAGGAGGAAGAGGATCAAATTCAACCCCTAGAGGTGGACCATCCTCTTGGTATTGTCTTCCTAATTGTCTCTTTACAGCAGTGATAGCAAAATTCTCACTCTCTCCCTTCACTTTCAAGTATCCCGAAGGCTTATTATACCCATAGCTTCTCATGACTTGAGGATTCTGGATAACGTCTTTATGTGCAACATATCTAGAACTTTCCACATCACGGATTCCATCTTTGCTAGAGACAAGATTCTTATGTAATGATGAGCTACGATCAGAAGATGTACTATCTTCACCATCAGCATTTCCCATATAAGAGCCCCCATAAAGCCTTTGACTTTCAACTTCCCTAGGCTTGGGGTTCCAATAATCCGTTTGCTTTGTGCTACCACATGAATCCTGTCGAAGCCCGCTTCCACGATCCTGAAGAACAACACTTGACCGATCTTGGCTCCCGACGGCGTTCCCATCTTCTTTTACATGACGTTTGTCTTTTAACCTTCTATGGCAGAACCAACCTGAAACTTGCTTCTCGGTTAATCCTACTTCCTCTGCTAACTTACCCTTCATATCTTCGGTCGGATACTTGTGCTCTGTAGAATAAAAAAATCACACCTGTAAAGCATATACAATTGGCATAAAGGAACAAATGCAAATAACAAAGCCATAATATACCATTGTAGAAATTCTCAAGCGCCATAACTTGTATAGGAGTCTTAAGCTTCCGTTTTTTGCTGTTTTCCGTAGAGGCTTTATCGCCATCAGCCGGCGCCTCGCCGGAATCTATCAAAAAAAGCACATACAAATCAAAACACATAAGAAGATAATGGTGAAACATGGACACCTTTCAATAACCAAGAGATGCAAAGCCCTGGCCAAAATTGAATTTTTTTTTTTTAAATCATGCTTCGTGTTTTAAGAAATGTTGCCAGTAATTCCACAATTCAGGTAACAAAATCTACACAAGTTTCAGCGATTATGACCTTTCTCTCATCAGCCAAATGCTTCTAAACCCAATCAAAACACACCAAAACTTGGAAATTTCTTAGTTTGATTAAATTAGTACCATTAAACAAACAAAAAAGACTAAAAATTTCCAATGCCATGGATGAATTTCACTAATTGAAACTACAAAATTGGGAGTTGCATTGTAATTCGACGAGCTCGGAATCATTGAAAACTATTCTCTCACGTAAACTCGCAGGAAGACAGAGATTGAAATAGAGGAAGACAAGAATTTCACCTGAGTGCATAGCGAAAATTCCCAGAAATTGAAGAAACAAAACCTAATCAGCTCCAAAAACCCAGATTTTGTTTTTCTTTTTCTTCAAAAAATTCTGATTTTTTCTCATGCGAGGAGAAGAAGAAAAAACTCCTCTTCGCACACAAATGACAAATCTCTTGAGAACCGGACCGGTTTTAGTGAACCGGAACATGGGAAATACTTGAACCGGGTAGACTTAACTTTGGGCCTAATTGTGGGCCTAAATTGGACAACGAAGAAATAAGAAGGTGAGGCGTCGAATGTTTTTTTTCTTGTGACAGAGCCGCCATGGCTACAGCTTCAAGGTTTCTACGGACATTGCCGAGGTTTCTCAAGCTTTCTCCAACCCTTCTCCGTAGCAATGGCGTAAGATTTTCAAGCAATTTGATTCAGGATTCCATAGAACCGTTGGATTCCTTCTGGCGAATAGGATCTCGAATCAGCCATGATTCTTTTACTACCAGAAGCTTCTCTTCTCAAGGTCCTGCTTCTGTCGATTATAGGTACTTTAATCCTAATCTGATCTCCTTATTATATCTGAATCGTTAATTTCATCAGAATATGAACAAAGTGGAAGAAAAACAGTTCGGTTTTGCAGGAGGATGAGTTTCACAAATTAGCCAACTTCACTATAAATCACCTTCTTGAGAAAATTGAGGTATTTAAAGCTGAAGCCTTTTTTTCTCTCTAGGGTTCTTCATTTTCCTTTAGATTGCAATAGCTTATACTATGTTCCTACTTACAATGTCTTACTGGAACAACATGATTCATGTTCAGGATTATGGTGATAATGTTCAGATTGATGGTTTCGACATAGATTATGGGGTAAAGATTAATCTTTTATATGGATTTAAGATCTTGTTGCTATTTTTCGTAATCTATCTGTGCTTATTATAGTTAGTCCTTGTGGCTGTTTCCAACAGAATGAAGTTCTTACCCTTAAGCTTGGATCTTTAGGCACATATGTACTGAATAAGCAAACTCCAAATCGACAAATCTGGATGTCTTCACCTGTGAGGTAAAGACTCTTGCTTTCGTTTTGAAAGTCGCTAACTTTAGGCGTCTATATCGAATTTCGCATATGGATTATCATGTTCTGCTGTATCTTCTGGTTTTTGTAGTCATATATATGGACAAATGAAACCGTTTATGACTGTGTAGTGTTACTCTTGACTTTGTGCTTCCACATCTTAGATTCACATTGATGTCATCTTCATACTTCCTTTTGTTTCGGCTTAGTGGCCCTTCTAGATTCGACTGGGATCGTGATGCTAATGCATGGATTTACCGGAGAACCGAAGCAAAGTTGCATAAACTCCTGGAAGAGGAGTTAGAGAAGCTATGTGGTGAACCAATCCAACTCTCATAAAGAAGGCTTTAAAACAATATTTTTAGCCAAAGGGTTTCATCTAGGAACTTGAAACTGCTATACCCTTTTTAAGGTAGACCTATGAAACATCCAGAGGAATAAACAAACAAGGCACAAGACAAAGTTGTTTCAGTGTGAAACCCGAGCAGTGTTTGTGAATCTGCTTTAAACAGTAATTTTTCATAGTGACATTGTTACTAGTGTCTTTGTTTAATCAGAGCTGAAGCTTCTTTTTACGCGTTTTAATCAAAACATTTCTTTTCAATACAAAAGTCCTACGTTTGTCAAAACTCCTCGAATCTCACAAAATTTCCGGGGAAAAGTTGGTTAACAAAGTTTGCAGGGTCAACCTCCACTCTTTCAAAAGCACCAATAAGGACAAAAGATTGACTTCTTCAACACCATTGTCCCCTTTGTCTCTCTCACTGTAAGGAAATACTTGGAATACGTATATTTCAAAAAAAAGGTTGGATTTGTTTTACTATTTAGAGATCCATCGCCGAAAAAGTGACACAAAGTACGTGGATTGATCACATGCGTATCTACATACAGTGGCTAAGAGAGTGTAAAGTGGTATCTACTACTTTCATGGCTTTTGGTTCAGATGCTCAAGTGAGACTTGTTCTGCTTTTTCTTTGAAACATCTTAAAACACATTATTAGCTGCGTTCCACATATCTACTTTTCAGGTGGGTCTTTCGTTGACGTTGAGGCAAACTTTTTTCTTTTTTTCTTTGGACACGTTTTGAGTTCTTAAGAAGACATAATGGGAGATATCAGATGAGTAAGACATGGTTAGTACAATAGTACTGGTCAGAGAATGAATTTTTCTGTCTTCTTCTATATGTTTTTGCTGCATATTTTTCGATTTGATTGCTTTGTTGCAGTTCAAGACTCCGAAACATTGTTCAAAGGTTCAACATTGATCAATGACAGCCACGGAGACACTCTTGTTTCTGCTGGTCAGAGATTTGAGCTTGGCTTCTTCACTCCAAATGGAAGCTCCGATGAAAGGAGGTACTTAGGGATTTGGTTTTACAATTTACATCCACTTACTGTTGTCTGGGTTGCAAATCGTGAATCTCCGGTTCTTGACCGTTCCGGCATTTTCACCATCTCTAAAGAAGGCAATCTTGAAGTTATTGATTCTAAGGGAAAAGTGTATTGGGACACCGGTGTTGGACCTTCCTTAGTCTCTGCGCAGAGAACTGTAAAGCTGATGGATAATGGTAATCTTGTGTTGATGAGAGATGGAGATGAAGCAAATGTGGTTTGGCAGAGTTTTCAGAATCCTACTGATACGTTTCTCCCAGGGATGATGATGAATGAGAATATGACTTTATCATCATGGAGGAGCTTCAACGATCCATCACCTGGAAATTTCACATTTCAGATGGATCAAGAAGAAGACAAACAGTTTATCATTTGGAAAAGATCAATGAGATACTGGAAATCCGGAATTTCGGGTAAATTCATCGGATCCGACGAGATGCCTTACGCAATTTCATACTTTCTTTCCAATTTTACAGAGACTGTAACTGTCCACAATGCCTCTGTGCCTCCTCTCTTCACATCTTTGTATACCAATACAAGGTTCACCATGAGCTCCTCTGGCCAAGCTCAGTACTTCAGGTTAGATGGAGAAAGATTCTGGGCACAGATTTGGGCTGAACCTAGAGATGAATGTAGTGTCTACAATGCTTGTGGAAATTTTGGTAGCTGTAACAGCAAGAATGAGGAGATGTGTAAGTGTTTGCCAGGTTTTAGGCCTAATTTCCTGGAGAAATGGGTCAAGGGAGATTTTTCTGGTGGATGTTCCAGGGAGTCAAGGATATGTGGTAAAGACGGTGTTGTGGTGGGAGACATGTTCTTGAATCTGACTGTGGTTGAAGTAGGAAGTCCGGATTCACAGTTTGATGCACATAATGAAAAAGACTGCAGAGCAGAGTGTTTGAATAATTGCCAATGCCAAGCTTACTCATATGAAGAAGTTGATACACTTCAAAGCAATACCAAGTGCTGGATTTGGTTGGAGGATCTCAATAATCTCAAGGAAGGCTATTTAGGTAGCCGCAATGTATTCATTCGCGTAGCAGTTCCCGATATAGGTAAACAATCTTTATCGATTTCGTATTATATATGAAATGCTTTAAAATGCGTTAGGATATATAATTTGTGATGGTTAAATTGTTGTTAAATTCTGCAGAGTCGACCAGTAGAGATTGTGTGACATGCGGCACGAATATTATTCCTTATCCTTTGAGCACGGCTCCTGGATGTGGCGACAGTAATTACCTTAGTTTCAACTGCAATATGTCAACTGGTCAAGTCATTTTCAAAGAATTTAACAGCTCATACAATGTTACAAGTATTTATCCGGATACTCACAGATTCTTGATCAAAATAAAAGATGTTGAAGTAAACTGCACAACTGTAAATCAGACGAGCAGAATTTCAGAGTTAAAGCTATCTTCGCCGTTTCGTCTCACGGGGAAGTGCAATGCAGACATGGTTACTGGTGGAACTGAAGTGGAGATTCGTTGGGATCCTCCTCTTGAGCCAACTTGTTCTTTATCTGCAGACTGTAAAGACTGGCCTAATTCATCCTGCAGGAAATCTGGAGACCAGAAGAGGCAGTGCGTCTGCAATCATAATTTTAAGTGGGATGGAGTCAATCTGAACTGCACTCAAGGTAAAGCTATGACAACAAAACTCGTTTCAAACTCTTATTGCAAAAATATATCAGTTTTTCTAATAAAGGCTCTCATGCAGAACGAGCTCGTGGAAGATACAGAGAAGCTAAAACACCGGTGGTTTTGATCATTGTGGTGACTTTTACAAGTGCAGCCATTCTGGTTGTTCTGTCAAGCACTTCTTCTTATGTGTATTTGCAAAGAAGAAAAGTAAACAAGGAACTAGGAAGCATACCAAGAGGAGTTAATTTATGTGACAGTGAGAGACATATTAAAGATTTGATTGAATCAGGAAGGTTTAAACAAGATGATAGTCAAGGCATAGATGTTCCATCTTTTGAGCTCGAGACCATCCTGTATGCAACATCCAACTTCTCAAATGCAAACAAGCTAGGCCAAGGAGGGTTTGGACCGGTTTATAAGGTTTGAATGTGATCTTCCGATCTGATTTTGATTTTAGTCTTTTTTAATACAGACTTAAAATTTTGTGTCTTGTGTGACTCAGGGAATGTTTCCTGGAGATCAAGAGATTGCTGTGAAGAGGTTATCTCGCTGCTCGGGTCAAGGACTGGAGGAATTCAAGAATGAAGTTGTTTTGATTGCCAAGCTCCAACACCGGAATCTTGTTCGACTCCTTGGCTATTGTGTTGCTGGAGAGGAGAAACTGTTATTGTATGAATACATGCCTCACAAAAGCTTAGACTTCTTTATCTTTGGTAAGTAGAGCTTCTTGTCTCTTCATTCATTAATTTTTCTTATGTTCAGTTCTTAATGCAAAGATCTCGTTCTTGCAAAGATCGGAAGCTTTGCCAGCGGTTAGATTGGAAGACGCGTTGTAATATCATTCTAGGAATCGCTCGTGGACTTCTCTATCTGCATCAAGACTCTAGACTGAGAATCATTCACAGGGATTTAAAAACAAGCAACATTCTGTTAGATGAGGAAATGAATCCAAAGATCTCTGACTTTGGCTTGGCTAGAATATTTGGAGGCAGTGAAACTTCAGCCAATACTAATCGAGTTGTTGGAACCTAGTAAGTTCTTAATACTTCAGTTTCCGTTAACATCCCATTCCTTAGTATTTATGGTAAATTAAAACATTTTGGTGTCTTTGTATTGCAGTGGATACATGTCTCCAGAGTATGCTCTAGAAGGTCTTTTCTCATTCAAATCAGATGTATTTAGTTTCGGCGTGGTTGTGATTGAAACTATCAGCGGGAAGCGTAACACCGGGTTTTATGAACCTGAGAAATCTTTAAGCCTTCTAGGCTATGTGAGGGATCTGAGACTTTAAACTTGTTTATGTACATTACTTGTTTAACAACTTGACCGAGAAACACATATATAAATGTGCAGGCGTGGGATCTCTGGAAAGCGGAAAGAGGGATTGAGTTATTGGATCAGGCTTTAAAAGAATCGTGCGAAACCGAAGAATTTTTGAAGTGCTTGAACGTAGGACTGCTTTGTATTCAAGAAGATCCTAATGATCGTCCTACAATGTCAAATGTTGTTTTCATGCTCGGAAGCAGCGAAGCTGCTACTCTTCCTACTCCAAGACAACCAGCTTTTGTCCTTAGACGTTGCGCTTCATCAAGCAAAGCTTCTTCATCCACCAAGCCAGAAACATGCTCTGAAAATGAGCTTACCATAACTCTTGAAGATGGAAGATAATAATAGCTCTGAACATTCATTTGAGCCATTAGCTAGATTTGTGTATTTATTCTCAATAAGCATAAGATTTCAATAGAAATAAAATTGTAATAGCTAATGACTTGAGTCCTGAAACAGAGAAACTTTCAATGGAATGAGATTTTGGCTTTGGAAGAAGCCATGGAGAATCCCGTTAGCTGTGACCTTATCATTTGTCTCCGGAGAGAGTCTCTGCAGAGGAAACTAGACCGAAGAGTCATCTTGATCAAAGCCTTTCCATGTCTCAGCAAAAAGATTGCGAGGCTCATTTCGTTCTCGCACTCTAAGAATCCGTGAATCTCCACAAATTCCAAGTGGTTCAAAAAAGCTTCCAATTCATAGGTTTGAGATTCCCAGTATTGAATCTCTGAGTTTGACATATTCCACAAATCCTTATCCCATTGCTGAAAAACATTAGCAAAATCAAAGAAAATTCAGTAAAACTGAGAAAGAGAAACAAAGAAAAATATTTCTTTCTTTCTTTTAATACTTTACCCTTCTTTCACTTGTTTGATCATTAATGATTTTGAGGGTAAGTATGTTTAGCATTGGACAGCTCTTGAACAGACAGGACAGTGTTTGAACATTGTGTCTGCTGAAACGTGTTTGCAGTTCCAAGAATCTCATGTTGTGAAACGGTAGAAGATGATTCTTTAATAGTCCCTTCTTGCTTGACAAAATCTGTCACAACATTAGTAAAACTATGAAGCAAAGAGCAAACTGTAGAAGAAGAAGGTGTAAGTATGTTGTGCAAGTGTGTGCACATATATACCTCTACGGATTGGTTTCCAAGTTGTAGTTTATAGGAATTACAGAGACCTGACAAGAGAGTGAATAAGCTTTGTGTCTGAGAATTGAGATCTTGATGAAGCCAAAACACTTTAACGAATGCTTTTCTCAGACAAACTAACTTGTCCAAGAAATGAACACTAGTAGTGACTGCGTTTGAATTCCAAAGGAAAGTTCTGAGATTCGGTGTGTTAATCTTCACAAAGCTCTTTTCTGAGTATGAATGGAAACAACTCTCAACCTTAAGTTTCTGAAGTTTATTACCAGAAACCTCTAAGCCCTCAAGCTGTAAAGAGTTCTTTAGAGAAAACTCTTGGAGAAGACGGCAACTAACCTTAAGTTCCTTGAGTCCAAAGCAACTTTCTAGGTTTAGTTTCTCTAGAAGAGGAAAGCTTGGATCAGTGAAGAAATCTGAGAGACAAGGTTGATGATTGTGTAGGATCACAAGAGATAAAGAGAGTGAAGTAAGTTTTTGAAAACCTCCAAGGATTGATGATGAAGGAGGTAATCGAAAACCAGGGTGAGATGATCTAAGCTTCAAAGCTCTTAAATCTTGAGAGGTCACAATCCAACGAGGGAAGTTAAAGTAGTCTTTTGTAGTAACTTCAATGTCAAGATCTTGAACCTGATGAGTAACAGCCAAACGAATCAAGGAATTGAGACTTGTGAAAGTGATGGGAGCGCGAAAACGAAGTGATCTAAGATTGTTGAAGTCACGGTGATTACGAAGAGAAAGCACTTTGTAAATGGAGTTAGAAGAGATAGATTTCGGATTCTTGAGGTCGTTAATGGATGTGAAATCAAGATCAGGCAATGAGAGAAAAAGAGATCTCCATCTTTTCGAAAGTAAGCTCGTTTGAGCTGCAGATTTAAGAGGAAGTAAGAGAAGAATCTGATGAATAAGAGAATCAGGGAGGTTACTGATTCTATCTACTTTGATAATCTCCTCTACACTAAACCAATTTGCTTCTTCTTCTTTCTTCTTCTTCTTCTTCCGTTTCACAGATCTTGTTTCCATAGTTAAAAGTGTCTTGATCGAGTTTTTTGCCATTTTGTTTCCTATGGTTCGAATTTAGGGTTTGAAACTTTCAAAACAAACCCTAAAAGTCATTACCGATAAGTGCGTAGAGTTTGTTTCCACAAATTTCGCATTTTCAGTTACAAACCAAGATCACCAAAAATCAATAGAAAATTGATTATTTATACATAAAAGAGAATCATCAAAGAGCCACCACATGTTCTCTTGTTCCATTTATCTTGGCTAATTCCTTAAAGAAGACGACATTAAAACTACAAATGACGATGATGTTGGCACTCAAGAGGAGTAACAGGAAACCTAGCAGCATCAAAACAATAATCATAAATCATATGATTAGCTCGAACCCAAATAAGCTGATGATTCTGATGAAGGCTAAGCTCAGAGACAGTTGGTTCATCCCACCAAAACTTGTCATCTCCATTACACTTGCTTAGATCAGAAGTTGTCGGAATCTCACAAGCATCGATTTGGAATTCCTTGTAAGAAGCAACGAAAGGAGCGTGACTCCAATCAGTTTTCACAAGACCTCCTTGTGTTGCCCAATCATCAGCGTTCCAAATCGAACTGTATACTCCCATTGCTTGATCTTTAGCAAATGGGATACCTTTATCTTCAAGATTCTTCTGGACTCGAATCGGAGTTTCGTCTACCATGAATCTGTTGTGCAATCAAAATCATTAAAAGAGTCCGTAATAATTAAAAAAAAAAAAAAAGGAAGAGACTTGTTTGTTTAAAGAGAGAGAACTTACACAACACTGCGTTTACTCCAGAGGATTGAGTAAGTGTGAAACTCAGTAGTGGGATCGAACCAAAGGTTGAGTCTTTGTTCTCTGTTTCCAACTCCATTCACATAAATATTGGTCTGGACTATATAAGGCTCACCGGTTTTGTTCCCCAAGAACTCAAAATCGAATTCGTTGTGGTTGGGACCATCAGAAGACATCTGTAAGAGAAAAACATTGTCAGATTTGAGACATAATAATCAAATCAGGGTCTTAAAAAACAGAGTACAAAGAGATGGGTTTTGTTCCGTACGTAGAAAGCTGTGACTGTTCCAGCTGAATCTCCCTCGACAAGCTTAATCTGGATAGAGACTTTACCAAACAGGTATTTGCTTCTCGATTCAAACCCAGCTCCTGAAAAAAGAAAAAATCAATCAAACATCATAAATTATAATGAACTCACAAAAACAGAGGAAACGAAACAGAGAGATGGGTTTGATTTTTTTATCTACGTACCAGAGTAATTGTCAAGCTTGAGTTTTGTGACTTCGCCTTCGTTGACACAATGATCCATAGCCCAGCTTGAGCGATAAAGCTCATCGAACTTAGCTCCAGAAACAGCTTCACCACAAGAGATAACCAACACCACAATCATCATCACACATTTGAACAAATCCATACCCACCATTTTTTTAAATCTCTCTTAAATCAAACTTTCACTCTACAGTCTCAAACACTTGACTCAATGAAGGAGATAAGAGAGAGAGGAAGGAGTTTATAAAGGCGGGAGGTGAGTGAGTGTGAGTGAGCTGGCATACAATGGAGTAAGATGCCACGTTGGATTCGACGTGTGATTCAGGACAGTAATAAGTGGACAAAAGAACCCATCTTCGTAAAGATGAAAAAATCACTCAAAACAAGAGAGGGAAATAAAGAAAAATGTAGCCGTTACTGTGAGGGCACACTCAGTGGGGCTCCACTTTTGTACTACACAGAGGACAAGTATTTATGCTTCTCTGTCTATCTTTGAGCACAAAAATAGAGACTTTATTGCTTTTAGAGAGATAAGTGAATAAAAATTGATTCTGTGGTATAGTAATAATGAAGAAGAAAAGAGAAGAGAGAGAGAGAGATTGGACCATTTTACAGCTAAGATGTTTTCATTGCCATTGGATTGGATCCAGCTATTACATTTGGCTCCTTTTGTGTCAGAAGCTCAAATTTTAAAAAATCTTTTTACTCACTCATTGCTCTAAAGAAATTGATTGGTACTCAGTCTTTATCTCTCTCTCCTCACTTTTTGGGGGAATTCAATTTTTTGTTTTTGTATTACAGACATGGATTAGATATGGGCAGGTGTGACGTCCATTGTGACAATAAAATATCCTGTGGCTTTGGTTTTTGGTTATTTTAAAACATTGTCAAGTTGTGTTGTGTAAGGTCGGCCATAATAACACGGCACCCATGTAGTATTTGTATGTGTGTATATCCATCCGGGGACTAAATTGTTTATTTGTCCCCATTGGAAGACATCGAAAACGACGGCGTTTTCGGGGAGATTTGAGGAAAAAGATCACGGGAGGTTTCTTGAATCAAGACAAATGTGAGAGACAGTGACGTTTACTTAATCCGATATTGTTTGAAACTTGTAAACGATTTGTTTATAATACAAATCATCAGATTTATTAATGTTGTTTTGTTCTGTCTCGTGAACATTAACCGAGCAAGTGTGGCATGCGTGCGTGCACCGAGAGGCTCGGCTATTTGAGCCAACGGCTCTTATTTTAGACTCATGCTTTTTTAACTGTGTCAGTAAAAAAAAATTAAAGTTAACTGAGTACTTTTTATCATCATCATCACGATTGGTACTATACTCCATCATCACCAATTCACCATCATGACCTTTGTTTGTCAGTGACTCATGATGAGATGACGCCAATTTACAATCTTTATCTCTCACTACTCTTCATTAGACTCTTACCCTTTTAAGGATTTTAAAGACAAAATTAATAAAAGAGCTAATTGGGGAATAACCACAATTAATTAGCTAAAGCCACTCTTTTGGATTGATACAAGCATCTAATAGTTTCCATTCCTCAGTTCCTTCTTCCGGTTTCTGCATCCAAAACAAGAGAGAAACACCATCAGTAGTTTAGTTTCATAGCTAAAATGAATCATGATTTAGTTTCTTGATGTGGATTATAGCATTGATAAGAAACTTTACATGATCATATTCCCATCTTGCGGATAGCGGAAGGGAGACAAGAATACTCTCTATTCGTCCTCCTGTCTTCAGACCAAATGTTGTTCCACGGTCATACACCTTTATTTTTACCATCAGTAAGAAAGAATGAGACGAGGTTTCATAAACGATCGAAGAGATACATAAACAGATAGAATAACAAAGCTAGTAGTATCCAATTACCAAGTTGAATTCAACATATCGCCCCCTTCGCAATTGTTGCCATGCCTTGTGTTGCTCGTTAAATGGTGTGTCTTTACGTTTCTCTATTATGGGTATATAAGCTGGTATCACTGAGCTTGCACATTCTGCAAAATTCACCTCAGTATTCAAATTAGCCAACTAGGAAGTTTCTAAAACCATAATGTCATCAGGTTTCTCTTGGTCATTAGTTACCAGTGGAAAATGACAGAAGCATCTCCTGATCATAATCATTCAAATCATCAAAAAATATCCCACCAAGCCCTCGCCTCTCGTCACGGTGCTGCAGGCAAGACAGTGAAGTTTTTAGTGTTTTCAAATCCTACACGACAACTTATCACTGCATAAACCTAACCAAACCTTGAGGCTTTAAATCTATCCTTATACATAACTCCAAAACTAAGGTCTTTCGTTCAACAAAGTGCTAAGATCTCACAGAACAATCAGAATGGCGTTAAAAGAACTGCAGACCTTAATGTAAAAGTAGTCATCACACCATTTCTTGAACCTAGGGTAGAAGGACGGATCGAATTTATCGCAGGCTTCTTTTTGAACCTACACAACGAGAGATATTTCAATCAGCAACTCCATAATCACAAAGCTTCAAACTTACAGACAAGGAATCAGGTTTAAAGACCGAATGAAAATGCTTGACGTCCGCTTCGAAGATGTAAGCAGGTGTGAAATCAGTCCCACCACCGAACCACCATTGCCTCGGAGCTCCAGGAACATCTACAAGTGATAATTAGGCAATCAAATGCTTCATCCAACCAAAAAAATTGAAACTTTACAGTTCTCAAAGAGAATTTACCCTTTGGAGCATCGGTCTCGAAGTAACGGTAATTGAAATGCAGAGTCGGAGCAAAAGGGTTCTTGGGATGCAAAACCTGGAACATGACATGAATGTAGGATCAAGCTCAATCAAAGAACTCAAAGACCAATATCAACAGCTATGTCGACGAATCTGAGATAGAGAGAGAAATTACCGAGCTAATACCGGCGGCAAAAAACGGAACTGGGCCAGGTTTTTGCTCAGCCGTGGCAGCTTTAGCAGCTCTATATGCTTCAGGAGGCATAACACCATAAACCACAGAGACATTAACTCCAGCTTTCTCCCAGACATTTCCATCTTGCAAAACACGACTGATCCCGCCGCCTCCACCTGGTCGAGACCAAACATCTTCCTTGAATTTAGGACCTCCTTCAACTGCTTCAATGGCTTCACAGACTTTATCCTGAGCAGCTCGAAACGAGCCCTAACCGAAGAAGAAGAAGATTGAGTATCATCACCATCGGAGTCTCTTAGGAAAGTGAAAGGTCTTTCTGTTTCGGGAACTTCTTTCTCGATTGAGACTGAACATTGTATATCGAAATGTGGTCTCTTTAGGAGACGAGGAAAGTGGAGAGTGAAGTAACTCGGAGAAGGATTGAGACGATGAGAGGAGAAGAGATTGAAGGACGAAGGAGAAGTGAAGAGAGTCAAAGAGTGAGACGCCATTTTTGGCGATCGATCGAATCCAAGTTTTCTCCTTTGCTGAAGATAGAAGATGATAAGGAATCGTCAAAGCTCTGGTTTTTTTACCAAACCCGGTTATTTCCGGGTTATTTCAATAAAAATATCTCATACCGGATCCGGTTTAGTTCTCTCCATTATGTATCTTCTTTATTATTATCAACGGGAAAACATTGACCCAGTTACTTACAGAACAAGCAACCATTCAACATGGAATCTCTTGCTTTTACTTGGAGAGTAAGCGAGTGAGAGAAGAAGAGTCAAAGACGGGAGGACTACAAGTGAAGTGTTGACACACAAGAGCAACCACTTTCTCTGAGTTTCTGTTCTTCTTCGCCATCTCTGCTACATTACTGTTATACTCTTCCCAAAACTCCATTTCATCAGAATTCGAAGGATCTATGTGAATCACCTGTCAAATAAAACCCCAAAAATCACAAATCATAAATCAAGAATCTGTTGCATAAAGCATTCCTGATTATAGACTGAATGTGCTCTTACCGTTTTGTTAGGATCATAAACTGAATGTGCTGCAGAAAGCATGTTGTTAAGCTCTGGAGAAGACTTAGAACCAACTAACACAACTTGTTTCCTCGACGGGACAGATATCATGTCTGCGGCGCAGCACATTAATGGCACTGCCACCGCCATTTCTCTTAACCTCAACTCAAAGACTGCCTGCAAAAACAAAAACAAAGAGACTCAATAATCTGTCTATGAATAGCGTCAATGCCTAACGATGAATAGCAAATGGGGTTAGTTGATTGCTAGTTTACCAGGAGACGATGCGCGGTGTTTAGGTAGGAGTCGGCTTTTTCTCCAGTGACTATGGAAGCTAATCTCACAAGGTTAATAGCAGAAACAGAGTTCCCTGAAGGTTCTGCACCATCATGATCTTCTTTTACACGAAGAAGAACCGATGAGTCTTGTCCTTCGGTGTTGAAGTAGGCTCCTCCTTCTCGGTCCAGATATAACTCATCCTAAAATGTTTGTAATTTTTATAGCCAAAATCATCAACTTTAACAAATCGAGCTAGTAAAGATCTCACTTGCCTGGGTTTCTTGAAGTTTAATCGCCCATTTAAGCCATTCGATCCCGCCTCCATTCTCGTAGAGATCAAGTAAACCAGCGATCAAGAAAGCATAATCGTCTAAAAAGGCAGGAGCTTTGGATGGTCCCTGTCTGTAACTGTGTTGTAATCTTCGAGACTGCTCATCATAGAGATTCCCTCTGATAAACAAAGCTGCTTTCTCTGCAACTTCTATGTATTCCTCTGGCTGTAAATGAGAATTTGAATAAGAAAAATCAACCATAAAAGAAGAAATCGAAGGGAGTGTTGTAGAATTCCTGACCTGACTATTCACCACAGGGAAACAGTATTTGGTGCTTTCAGGCTCAGCCTTAAGCATCTTGGAAGCTCTTGCGAAAGACGAGATAACAAGACCGTTCCAAGACACGATTATCTAAGCAAGAAATCTTAAATGGTTAACAAAGATGAGGAAACAGTTGAGGAAGACAACAAAAGATTTCCAAGAAGATTATCACCTTATCATCTAGATGCGGCTTAGGTCGATTCAATCTGACATCGAAAAGCTTTTTTCGGCATTCACCCAAAATCTCCTGATACTTCTCAACGGAGAGGCTAAACTTTGATGCCATAGCGGACATCTCATTCCTTTCAATTAGCACGTTCTTCCCAGCAAATTCATTGTGCGGGTCACTCCTGCTCGAAAGATCGCAGTTACCTGATTTCTTAACATAATAATGCTCCTTGAAAAGATCTGCATTCTCCCCGAGGACTTCATCAATCTTAAAACCAAACACACACAAAAAAAATTGTCAGTATACAGAGGCAACACAATTAAGCTGATGAATATATCAGAGAAAAGAACCTCATCGCTGCTCCATATATAGAAAGCTCCTTCCTTCTTTCTCTTTGCCCCCTCGAATTCAAAGCTATCAGCATCTTCAGCTGAGAATATTCCACCTTCAGGTGCAATCATGTCTCTTCTAAGATAATCAAGGATGTCTTTTGCCACATAAGAATATATAACATCCTTGGTTATGATAAAACCATCCAGGTAGACGTTAGCTAGTTGCCCTTGATCATACAGCATTTTCTCAAA